AAAAAAATTGAACTCTGTTTGTTCAGTGGATTCGGCCCGTTTATTTCAGCTTTCGTTTTTGGGGCGGCAGGGGTTTCGATTTCTTTGAACTCAACAAAAAAATTGAACTCTGTTTGTTCAGTGGATTCGGCCCGTTTATTTCAGCTTTCGTTTTTGGGGCGGCAGGGGTTTCGATTTCTTTGAACTCAACAAAAAAGGATGCCCGCGAAAGGGGCATTTGAACTCTGTTTGTTCAGTGGATTCGGCCTGTTGTTTTCAACTTTCGGTTTTGGGGTGGCAGGGGTTCCCTTGAAAATTCGCCCCCCAAGGGGCGTTTGGACTTTTGGATTCGGTTTTGGTTTTTTGGATTCCTTAACTCAACCAGCCAAAAAAGGATGCCCGCGCAAGGGGCATTTGCACTCTGTTGCCCAGTGCAGTGGATTCGGCCCTTTTCCCCTCTTTTTTTCGGGGCAGGGGTTCCGACTTTTTGAAACTCAACTCGCCAAAGAAGGACGCCGATTCTTTTTTGCCCATGGAAATCCACTGGGCATCTAAGTGAAGAACCTCGGCCGGAGGCTGGCCCTTTTTGGAAGCCTGGTTTAAAGGGAAACCATCCAAAGCATTCAACCAAAACTTGCTGGTGCGAAAAGCAGGGAATGGAATGACCCCTACAAAAACCATGCAACTGGTGCTTTCCTTTAAGGGGACCAAAGCCTGGGTTCATTCCCACATTCCCTACTGAGCACCAGCAAGAAAAAGGGCCCATGAGTTGTTTTGGAGACTAGCCCGTTTTTTTCCCCTTGGGTTAAAGGAGAACCAGGCAGAAAGCACATTTTTCTTGGGGGGGTCCTGGTTTTTTGAGACTAAAGAGCCACTAGAACCTGAGAAGAAAATGGCTGGTAACATGAGATGAGGTCATATGACGATGCCCAGTCGATCCTTTGCCCTACTTAGTTACAGGTTCAACCATTTGGACGTCACTCTTTGCAACATGGCCAGGACATCACCAACGACTGGTTCTTAAGCGCGGACCATCCCACTTTGCTGCTCTCTCCCGACTCCGAGCGCGACCCGATCCAGCGACTCCAACGTGTCCACTTCAACGAACGCAGCAGGGACTCCTGGCGTCAGTGGCTGCCCAACCAGCCGCAGGTCCCTCGGCGATTGCGGGGTCCGAAGCGACAACCACGTGGACGCTCCCCAATTTCGAAAAGCCCCCCATTTCACATCTAAGGCGTGCTTGCATCAGATAGTTTGTTGCATGCGTGAATGCTGTCCTCATGTTTAGGAGTTGCGGGATATGGCAGCTGGCACGAAGCGAGACTTGTAGAAAGCCCGAAGCTGAAGCCACAGACTTCCTTGGACATGTGACCACACAGGCTGATTCAGGGTTAACCTCATTCCAGACGTGACAAGAAAGCAACTCACTCCCTGAGTTCTGAGTTCATGAAACAAAATCCTAGAACTTTTTGGGAAGACCATTTACTTGCTTGGGGCCATCCACTCGGGCAGGACAATCCTCAAGGGAGTCGCTGAGTCTGCCGATTTGGTCCTGTGACTTGTGAGTTGTCGGGCGAGGAGCTTTCTGCTTTCTGCTCACACACGGTTTGAAAATTATGTTTAACTTCTCCTGCTAGAGAATTCAAGCTGGATAATGACTCATATATATATATATATACACAGATACATATATATATATAGATTCATATATATATATATATTTATATGTGTATATATATATATATATGCGTATATGGTCCCGTGTACCAAAGATACATATACGCGTGCGCTATGTTTTTAACGACTGAAATTTGCATCTTGAACTCCACAACCCCCATTGCCTTGGGAGTTGACACCACTCCGAAGGCGTCATACATGTATATAGTACATAAACGTGTCATAATGTCCATATACATATATATATATATATATACATACATCGATTATACACACTCTGGCATATACCAGTTCTCTGGGAATAAAACAAGAGGACAGCTATCAAAAGGACTGAGTTGCCCGAAGCCACTTTTAAACCATTTGGGTGGCCCTTTTCGGCACCCATGTTGCAGTCATCCCAAAAGCCGATTTGGACTTAATTCGGTTTCAAAGTACTGGGGTCATGATTTTGACGGTTTCTGGGGGTTGTCAAGTCAGAAAATGGGGTTGTTTCCCTTTAACTCACCACTTCCGGGGAGACTTTGATCAATCAGGCCAGAAGTATCCCAAGAACCCATTCGAACTGTTATAGGCCAACGGAAGACAAGGGGATGAGACAAATTCGGTAGTCCCCACCTCTTTTGCGGGTCTGAGATCTGAGGCCAGCCGCATTTACGAGGCGTTGCACCTCTACGAGCAGCTGGTGGAAGAGAGGCATGTAAACATCTCATGCGTCCCGACCCTTTGAGACTGTCGCCAAACAAAAGGGGAGTTCAAAAGGGGTACATCCTCAGAAGATGCCAAAAGATCCTTAAGGAAAGGGTGGGTTCTTTCTTGATTCCCTTTCAGGCAGGTTTAGACTTTGGAATAGTTTGCCTTACTTGACCCTGTCTTAACGTTTGGCAAGGCGTTACTTTGCGACGATCTTCATTGAAAGGGTATCCAGGAGCATGTTCATATTCCCTGTTTCATGTTTGCACAGCAAATCTCGAGGGGGCATCATGGGTAGTTCGAAGCATATGCAATTTGCTCATTTTTGTACTGGTCGCAGCCTTTGATACTGGGTTTCCTCTTAAGCCTTGTGGCAAAGTAGAACCTAATCAGAAACCAGCTGAGATTCACCGGAACAACATGTGCGTGTACGCAATTGCTTGATTCTACGCATTGTACCATCTTTCTGGTAGACTCTGATTTGGGCGGGAACTCTCGTGCATGTTAGCGCATTTTAAGGGATGTTAGGTCTGACTCTCTGACTCTTGTTTCCGGTCGTGTTTGCACGCAGGACCTTGCCGGTTACGTCACAATTGTTTGGGGCAAGAAAAACAAACAATGAACGACCTTTTCATAGAGATTTGAGCTTTTAGGGATGGTGAATTCTTCAGACTTATCTTGAATGCGGAAAGCATCATTGTTAATACCTTCAAAGTGAACACGTGCCAACAGATACATCTCTAGACTGCCAGGGGCCCAAAACACTCGTCATCAGCAGGTTCCATCACAATCATGTCTATCCGAAAAGAACCCATTTGTTAGGATCCATTCTGTGGACGGACGAACTCCTGCAGCACCTAAGAAACCCTGGAATAATATGATTCCCCTGTAAATGTCGAGCAACACCTGTTTCCGACGGTCCAGGCGGCGAAATAGATTTCGTCCATCAGTAGGTCGCCCAACTGGGCTTCAGCCGCCATTAGAAGAATGGCAAGGACCAGTTTGGGTGGAACTCCTTAGGCAAATAGTGGTGGATTTATACTAACCCAACTTTTTGATGGTGGTAAGTCAACCGCAGGGTCTTGTTCAACAAACCCAACCATTGTTTAATGGTGGAAACTGAACCCCGCCAGTAATCCTACCGGATCCTTTCGGAAGGTCTCGCTACGTCTCGCTTCACCTGGCGCCCGGCGAGATGATTTGCACCGACAACTGGCGAGTGATGTGCCACGCCCGGGCCGATTTCTTTTTTTTCAACGGAAAACCCACAGGGAAGCCGCCAAAGTTGTGGGTTGCCTCGGTTGGAGACCAAGCCATTTTGAGAAATCAACTTGGCCGCTTTTTTGTTTGTAGATTTGTTTGCATAGTCGCTTGGTTCGCTGTTTTTCTATGCCAAGCCAGATCCTGGATCGTCGCTTGCTCCGTTTTGTAAGGAGAAGGAAGTGTAGTTTCGTGTTTGTTCATGCCATTTACAAATTGAGGTACAATGTTGGGGATATGAGCTTGTCATATCAAAGGCCCTGGGTGTAAACATTGAAGGTCCTGGGACAAATGAGTACGACAGGGCCTGGAGAAGAGGTTGATACTCCCATACCCTTGCCTGATTTCATGGGGACTCAGCTGAAACAATCCCGAGATTCCCTGGCATAGCATCTCATTGATTTGAGGACTGTGAAGGGGTCTTTCAATGCATGCATGTCCGAAGACATGAATGTACTCCAAACGAAGTGTTGTGTTTTTCAATTTGTGTGTGTGTGTGTGTGGTTTTCGTAAGCTGATGGAAGAGGGTGATAAAATCAGGTGAGGCGTTTGCATCGAGGCGCTTGTTTTTTTTCTTGCACCTCCCGAGAAGGGCCGTTTTTGTGAAATTGAACCGGCGAAATGGCATGAAGCAGTGCGAGGTTTGCTGTGAAAGCCCCGAGTTCCTGAACATCCGAGGCACTCACGCACCAGCTTCACAGGCAGCAGACACTTCGTGACTTGGCTTTTTCTGGACGTCTTCGGATACACTGTCCTGGCTCTTGATTTTGAACACCCCCAAAACAAAGAGGTGTTTGTGTTTTAATGGGTCGGCTTTTGGTATCTATGTTGGGGTGGGAAGGCGACCGCTGAAATTTAATGTGTAGTTCCAAATTTCTATTAATGGGAAATACTTGATAATTGAAAGGGGGGGCCGCCTACCCCCCCCTTCTTTAGGAGGAGAATGGTAAACCTTTACGAATGGTTTCAAAGAACCATTCTCGTGCTTACAATATTGAGACGACTTCAAATGACACCTTGCCGACAAGGCATTCCTATACAATGTCCCCTATCTCCATTGATGGGTTTGGGACCTCCAATTGAGGTACCACGATTCTTGCAGCCATACAATTTCGCTGGAAACAACATTAAATTTGACGAACGCAGGATGTTAATTCTGGGTTTTTGCCAGAGGAACCCGGTGAGAGCACCCCCCTCAAAGAGTTGATTTCCTAGCAAACGGGAACCCACTCCCCACTCCCCACTGATTGAGGTCCCGCGGATTCCGACATTCACGTTGCCTTCCCCTGTGATTCCATTCCCTATAGTAGGTAACCAATGGAACTCGTAAGCTAACAGACACGTGGCTTACGTAAATTCATGGGGAAACTCCCCTAGATTCTACGATCTAAATATATTTTGTTTGGTGGCTTCACCTACGTATGGTGAACCACCAAAAGGGATCCTGTGCATTTCATCAGTGCAGTGCTCAAAGCCCCCAGGAAGGCCTTTGTAGGTTCCACCTTGTTGCATGAGTGCTAGGCGAGCAGAACACTCACTGGTGCTCAGTGTGTGATGGGTAGGGAATGAGAGAATGAACCCTGGCTTTGGTCCCCTTAAAGGAAACCACCAATTAGATGGTTTTATACTGCCAGCAGGGAATGAAAAACGGAATGACTCCGAGATAAAATGTCATCTCGCATTTGGTTTCCTTAAAGGGAATCCCCCTTCCGGTTCAGTCCAATTCTCATCAACTGCATCTCTCGCAAAAAGGCAACCATGAGGCATGGTTTATACTGTAGACTCGCTAGGTCATCATAAGGGATGGTTTATCTCGGGGTCATTCCAATTCTCATTCCCTGCCCATCGCACCAAGAGCTCAGGTGGGCGGTTACCTGGACTGGGACGCAGTGCGTGCGCGCTGGCGGGCGCTGGCCGGTCTCTGGCAGGCGCTGGACCGATTCAAAGAAGCGTGGTACATGAGCTACCGCTAAAAAGGGTCGGAACAAGGCACATATGTATTGGAGTGGAAATAAGGGTTTTGGCGACATATGACATATGTTGTTTGACAGTCCCAGAGGGTTTTCCTACCTGCTAAGGTGGTACCAAAGGACCCCTTTTTACCCCCTTTGCAGCCATTCTTAGGTACCAAAGGAGAATTTCTGGGAGTGGTTCAAACACTGTTTCAAGAAACATTGGCTTTAGCATGCTTCTGGTTCACAGCAGTGATTGGCAGCACCCCGGCAGGGCCAAAACCAGCTGATCCAGGACTGAGTTCCGATGGCCACTTGGGCCCTGGACCCGTTTTGGGGTCAGACCTCACTTCCCCGAGTTACAGAGATGGTATCCAATTAGCTGTGCATTTGTACATATTGTGCATATCTTGAATCCGTGTTTGGCAGGGAGCCAAACGCGTAGGCGGCATTGCAACTCCAGGAAGTGAGGGCTCACGTCCCGCCGTCCCGCGCTTGGTGGCCACAGTGCCCTGCGCCGGACCTGCCAGAAAAAAAGTCGGCCGCCTCCGAATCGAAGTCGGCCCAAGGGCCAAAGTTGGGATGTTCGAGGGGGCCATGTTGGAGGTAAACAAAAAAATGGTTTGCTGTAACAGGCTCTCAATATGGTGGTGAAAAGAAGTACGCTGGCCTTAGTCAATCGCATCCTTTTTGGCCGGCCCATTTTCTGGCGGAAACCACTCAATTTAGGGTCCTCCATTTTGGCACATACTTGTGTCAATGTGCAGATGTCCACCAAAGCGTCCCCAATAAAAAGTAACATCAATACAGGTTGTAGTATTTTTGACTGTGCGACTCGTCGGTGCAACTAAGTGCGCGGTGTTTTCTTGTTAGGGAGGTGTCAGGCCCCAAAAAGAGCAACAGCTTGTAGTGATTCTAGTGCAGTTTACTTTGTCAAGGGATCCAGAGGAAGTCAAAGGTTATGCGCGAGTCACTGAGGTGTCCTGGGAAGGATGTTGCCTTTCTCAGGTAGGCTGACAGGGCCGCCCTACTGGATTGCAGCTCTCACAGACTTTCTCCAATGATCGCCACTTTGAAGATTGATGAGCAGTGGCCCCTTTTCGATTTTTTTAGGGACGTTCTTTCATATTATCCAGCACATAGCCAATGTGGGGTTCCCGGCAGGGAGTCATGAAATAGCAGAAGCAAAGCCAAGAGGACGAACCCTACTGCTCCCATGTCCATTGAAGTGGCGGAATCGGATTTAAAACCGATTTCAGTGTGCCCACATACATGGGTATGGGTCCAAATTAAAAAGAAAGGGGACAAAAAACAACAACATGTGTTGGTCGGTTCTTTTCCATTCACCAGGTCAAGCCATTTTGGGTACCGATTTTTTACCGCCAAATCTGCCGGGGGTGGGAACCTTTGTGACGTGGACGGCGCCTCATTCATGTCAACTAGGCCCCCAAGTTGTGCTCTTTTTGCCCTTTTTTGGGGCAGCTACTAAAATAGACTACAGAAAAAGGGTACCCTTATTCTAACCCCTCTACTGGCGGACCTAGTCATCTGCCCCGGGCCAGGAGACATTCAGAGAACTGCAAGCCGAGCAGGGCGCTCGGCCTTCAGCTTGAGCATAGGGCTCGGTCCAAATTGTCGTATGTGTCCCAGGGAAACCAACTAGCAGGGAACGAGTGGGATACGGGAGGATTCCAATGAAATGCACCTTGACTGAGTTTGATATGGGAAATGGCGCCAAGGGAATGCCCCCATGTCCCCGTTCCCTCCGTATCCCCGCTTGTTCGGTTGTCCAAGTGTCTTTGCTTCCGTTTGCTGAATAATATGTTATATGTTCCCTTGGTTGGCTTTAAAGACAATCTATCACTACTGGAAATATGTGTTTGTTTTGTTGCAGGGGGTTTAAGCAAGTGGAAGTTTGGGTGCCGATATTATATGTGGGTTGATCAATATTCCAGTTGACCATGGCAACTTGTCGCATGTGGGAAATATCATCTGTTTAGGGGTTTTCAAACCAATGGTCATTCCATGCAAAGGACCTTTTGATCAACATGTGTCGTTTGCGGTTCAGACATATCACCTGGGCGAATGTTATGGAGTTTCTCTTTGGGCCGAAAGTCAAAGAGGACTTCTACTGAACCCAGCCCCTAGCAACTATTGGCCATGAAGCAAATACTAAATCAATTTATTTGAATTGTTGGGACCTGGTATGGCTGGTTGGAGGTCTCCATGGCTGGTTGGAGGTCTCCCTTGCTTCTGTTTGATTGTCTTTGCCCAGAAGGATCCCTTGGCACCTAAGGAGGCACCCAAGGACCCCTTTTTACCCCCCACAAGCCATCCTCAGGAGGTACCAAGGGACCCTCTTGGGTTGCATGCTCGTGTGATCCTCTATGACAGTCGTTTTTCGCGTTTATGCCTCACATGTGAGGCAGAATGAACGCACGCAAATGCTTGGGGGCTTGTTTCACGCCCTGAGTTCCTCTTCGGATTTTCATTTTTTTTGTGGAGGCCATTTTACGGTACAGAACTGTTCAGACTTCTTCTGACCAAATCCACTCAGGAAGTGAGTCGTGGGAAATGGGAGGTTTGTTCCCTTACCCCGTGAAGAGCCACTCTTCCCAGTGCAGCATTGGCAATCCCACCCTATGAAAGCCAGTCGAGTACATTGGTTCTTCAACCCAATTTCTTCTTTGGCACACAAACAAGGATAAACTGTGTTCAGCTTTCCTCTACTTGGTGGTTTGGATCGGTGGTTTGGAGGCTGTGGTCTCCCATTCGCCCTCACGAACCAGGGTTCAAATCAAGCCACCAATCCAACCAACCGACACTTAGCTGGTTCATAAAGGAGGTCGCAAACAGGTTCGGGGGGAAGCAACAAGAATCCCCAAGCTATCTCTGAGCGGCAGGCACCAGCCAGATGAGGAAGGATGGCTAGTGGATGTCTTCCCTTGAAGCGCGTTGCGTGTCAAGGGCCCACGTGTACCAGTGGGTTCCCACGGGTGTAGTACGTGGGTGAAGCATTTATGGCATCAACCGAAAGACCTCTTATGTCCGCATGGTTTCATATGCTGGCATCGGAATCGTGATTCTATGAGCCACTGAGCCACTGTCAATATTTGCGCGCGGACAGCTGACACACACACACAGACACAAACTCACACAGACACCCACGCAGACAAAGAGAGAGAAAGAGAGAGAAGAGTTGCCACGCAAACGCAGACAGAGAAGGAGAGAGACAGAGAGAGAGAGAAAGAGAGAGAAACAAATACGGACAGAGACAGACGAGAGACAGAGACAGAGAGAGAGAGAGAAGGGATAAACGCAGACAAGGAAGGAGAGAGAAAGCGAGAGAGAGAGAGAGGGAGGAAAAAAAGAAGAACAAAAACGGATAGAGACAGACAGAGACAGACGAAGAGACAGAGCGAGAGAGAGAGAGAGAGAGGCAGGCAGGCAGGCAGGCAGGCAGGCAGGAAGGCCGAAGGCAGGAAGGCCGACGGCAGGCAGGCAGGAAGGCCGACGGCAGGCAGGCAGGAAGGCAGACGGACATAGACAGACAGACGGACAGGCGGACGGACAGACAGACAGCCAGACGGACAGAGAGACAGAGAGAGAGCGACAGAGACAGAGACAGAGACGAACGGACAGACGGACAGAGACAGACAGACAGACAGACAGACAGACAGACAGACAGACAGACAGACAGACAGACAGACAGGCAGGCAGGCAGGCAGGCAGGCAGGCAGGCAGGCAGGCAGGCAGGCAGGCAGACAGACAGACAGACAGACAGACAGAGACACAGAGACACAGAGACACAGAGACACAGAGACAGAGACATAGACACAGAGACACACGGGCAGACAATGACAAAGACACACACACACATCACTCATGTTGCGTAAGCTTTAGGTGCTTGCCGGATGATACTATGATTGTTGTTTGCTTTTACAGACAAAACACATTGACAGTGGCTCCACCATGCCGCTATTAGCTTCTTTGAAGCATTGAAAGCCGTGCGTGAGTTTGAAAAGGAACGAGCCGCTGGTGGGTTTATGTGTTGTGGTGAATGGAAGAAGTCTGTTTCATCGTGTTCGCGTACTTCAAGCAGGTTGGGCAAGCTGTTTCTCGGTTCTGGAGCCAGACATGCTGTGAACAGTACTAGGCACAAAGCGGAGAGCAAGTAAGCAGGGTTGGGTTGAATTCCCCTTCGTATGTTGTTGATTGGTGCCTACTAGCCCCTTGCCCGCTTCGATTTGACCCTTCAAAATGGATCCTGATGCAGTATCAGTGTGTGAAGATCGAATGGGTGCGATTCTTGTCACGGCTCGTCCTGCTCGCAATGTGGCCCGCCTTCCGAAGAGTTTCTAAAAGGGGCCCTGCGATGTTTACAACCAACTAACCAACCATGTGTCAAACTACCAGGGCTGGGAGGTATTTGCAGACAGTTGAATCGGAGCCCCTCTCCTGCGCAACATGCGCTGAAACACAATTTAATTTTGGCAGCCATGCATTCGAACATGTTGCATCCACTGTAGGGACCCGAACCCTTTGTAGTAGAATATTTCAACCTAGACAGTTCGCCTTCTCCAGTGACTTTTATTATCCGCCAGGCGGTTTGTCTCCTGCAACATCATGTTGTTTGGCTGATGCGTTCTTGGAGTTGCTGGAGCACTAACATGCGTGATAGGATTGCCTAGGCCAACAAGAGAGAGCGAGCAACTTCCCCCACACCCTGGTCTTGCTTGCATGCACGGGGAGTTATTGAGAGAGAGAGAGAGAGAGCGGTTGTACTGTCGTTATATGCCTCGTTGTTTGCCCAATATGAAAGTGGCGCTTCAATCGCGGAGGCCGCAGATTGTCGCCACTTGCCGGGCCTTTGGGCTCAAGAGTCGCATGCGAAGCCTTCTTTTGGCCGCCTGCGTCGAGCTGCCTTATTGCCCGAACAGACCACCCGTTGTGAGGGTTTCTTTTCACCGGCAGAGCCGCAATCCAAACCCAAAGAAGGTAGGGGGCACCCGGCACAAATACGGACTGCGCGCCCTCTAGATTCTTGAATACCAGGTGTTGATTCTTACTCAGGTGAGACTAGTGAGTTTTGAAGCTCAGCTTTGAAGAGACCAAACTTCTCCGCAAAGAGTTTCAGCAGGCAAGCTGCACAGGTAGCATGGCCAACGGAAGCACGGATGGCGCGGCAAGGACTCGTTTGTCCAGAGAAACTTGAGCGACAGATAGGCGGCATAGTCGTCATTTTTATACAGCAGTAACATATATTATATTATATGCCATGCAGCACACTTGCCAAATGAACATCTCAAAACAGCTGATCAAGGCTTCTACAATCAACCCTTTTGGCCGTCGTGTTCAAGATCAACGATTGAATCTTTCACGTTGTCAGGCTGTTGCGTTGAGAAGGCAATCCCCATGTACAAAGTAGGACCTTTGACCCATGACACGATGATGGCATGCCTGCCACTTGTCTGCGAGCATAAGCGTGGTCAGCCAAGGTACTTTCAATTGTTTCCCTGGATGCCCGCTTGTGTTCTTCCGGTGTTTGGGTTGGGCCGTTTCTGCCAGGAAGGACCCTTTGCGGGAGCTGACATGCGAATTGATGCTACCCGAAGTTGGTGGATAATGTCAACTTGAAATTAATCCGGAGGAGCATACCATTCGGGAGAGGACTAGGACAGTTTCCCTTCTTGGAAGGGAATTGGTTGAGTTTGGTGTTATTCCTGGGATTCGCAGAGGACCAATTACTTGGCTCACGATTCTCACCGAGGTTTTAGATGTTTCTGAACTGACCTCCTATTTGTTTCGGGATTGTTGGGGCCTCCATCTCCTAAGGTCTTTCCAAGCTTCTAGGAGTAGCTTCCCCATTCTTTCCAAAATTCCTCATCTTTCCAGAAAGCCACCAAAAACTTTGGGGAACAGCTGGTCATCAAAAAAAAGATGGTTGAGAAGAATGGACCAGGACTCAACCCCTAGAACCCTTGGTGTGAGCTCCCGCAAAACGTCGTTGGGGCTGCGGGAGCCGGCCGAGCCGCATGTCCCACTTGACCGTTTGAACGGAAGCTGTTCGCCTTTGTGTCTCCCAACTTTTGCCATTTTTTTTTTTTTTCCGTGGACAAACTCCTGTATCTAAGAAGCCCTGGTTTCTGATGATTGCCTAGTAGGTACCAACAAACAATGGTTTCAACCATGGTTTCCAAGCAGTGCAGGATTTCGTCCATCCACATTAGCACCAAGAGGTCAAGTCTTGGTTTTGAGGGTTGCTTTGGACAAGTGAGAAATGGTCGGAGGCATGTTGCCTTCTTCTACCAGCAGTATTGGGCAAGTGGGCAATAGAAGTTGTGTGCTACTGGGACGTCGCACTGTTTCGGTTCCGCCTTCTGACATTTCGGGTTACCCTTCGTGCACTTGTGATTTGATCTACACATCAAGACGGATGGCTGGTTTCTCACGGTGCTCTTCTGGACCTGCCTCCTATTGTTCATATTTTCCTGACCCCCTGCTTTGCGCGCAGGATGTGCGAAATTGTGTTGCCGTACCAAAGCATCCAACTTGCAATCATTTGTCGGACAGGGAACAGATGCTAAGTCCTAGGTCCCTCGTAGTGCCCTTTCTCTCCCCTTCTTTGGCTGGGAGGGTTCAGCTACTAAAATAGACTACAGAAACAAAAAAGAGATCTGGTACCAACACTTATTCTAACCTCTCAAATCTGGAGGACCTATGGGAATTCCCTTTCGCAGACCTCCAGAGGTGCACTGTTCAAGGGCGATTTCCCTCCAAAACCAACGCCCGAGGAACAGGGGCGGGCCCCCTGTTCACAAACATGAAGCAGATAGGGGCACATGTACTGCTCCCCGACCTCCGATTTTCTCCACCAAGATGAGCTAGCGTCTCATTTTGAAGCCAGGGATCCTTTCCGGAAAGCAAAAGAACACCGGACCAGGGTCTTGTTCGGAAAAGAAGGGTTCTTCCATGATGATCAGACATCTTAAGTCTATGTCTGATTTTACTTGTTGGTTTTAAAGGGAACTGATTTCACTGCTGGACATATACGTTCTCTTTTCCAGAGGTTTGGAACAAGAAAATGGAGGGATTGGAGAAGGAGTCGCCAGAGGACCATGTTTGCTTTCCTCGAAATCTTGGGGAACTCAAGCTGCCTCTCTTTGCTTTTTCAGATGGAAGCCAACGTCTCCGAACGCCTAGGCCCAGCCAGGTGCCCTTGGAGCCGTTTCCCTTGTTTGGGGGAGGGTAAAAAACCCTTTCCCTTTTACCGCTTCCGTCTTTTGGGGGAGGGTTCCTTTTTTAAAATAGACTAGAGAAAGAAGTTGGTACCCTTGTTCTAGCCTCAATCTGGAGGACCTGGAAGCTGTTTTCTGTATGAACATCCCGAAGATGCCCTTCACCGAGGCCATGGGTGGCATAGCCTATGAACATCTCCGAAAAATCGGTTTGGATGCGGTTTTTGTGGATCCAGCCCTGGATATTAGAAGGGTACTAAAAGAGTACTAGAAAAGAAACTACAGGGGCCAAGAACAGGTGTTTGCCACCTCTTTTGATGTTCAGGGCTACAAACCACCACGTTCTCTTTTGATCCCAGGGACGAGGCGGCGACCAGCGTGGAGTCGCGGCCAGCGTGGAGTCGGTGCGGCGCTTGCGAAGCCTCTGCCGCGAAGCGGAAATGGACGATGAAGCTCGGGCTGAGTCGCAATCAAACCCCGGGTAAGTGAAGGTTAGTAAGGGACAGTTCCGACCATACATAGTTGCGGCCGCCTTCTTAGCTCTTTACATGGTTCTGGGTGGACTGATTTAATACCAGGTGTTGATTGTGACCCAGCTCTTAACCCAGGAGGCCAAGACCTCATTTGAGGCCTTTGGGGCTTCAAGGCCCTCATATTTCGGGTTTCTGCGGGGCCCCTTAGGGTAAGGACTTACCCTCAGGTCCACGAACATGGATATCAGAGGTTCCCCGATTGGAAACCATGTTCTTGGATGGGAAGGTATTTGGGTGTGGCGCAAAATTAAACCAACAGGGACCGCAGATTGTGGTCCATGTTTCCACTTACCAGGGTTCCATGTTGTGTACCTATTTTGTGACCCACAGCCATTTTGGGAAGATCTACATACATCGAAGTTTGTCCCGGCTGGTGCGCCTTGTTTAGGCTAGGCTCCCTCCGGTTCACTTGGCCAAAACCATACAAAAAGGGGGGCCTGATGTTAGGCAACACTTGCGGGTTTGTCTCTACTGTGTCAACTGGTTGAGAAGGGGCAATGATAGCCAAAAGCATAGTATCCGGGGCAATGCTGGCTGACCACTAAGCCACAGTCCTTTGCTTTGGGATCCGTTGCTTCAGGGTTTGGAATTGCGGTAAAGTGTGCGGATCACATGGTACCTTGTGCAGATGTGCTTTGAGCACTTTCTGACCAGAGTTGTTTTCCAAAATCATGCTCCATTCTTATGCCGGGTGGTAGTGGTTTCCATTGATATAGTGACGTCAACCACGCATGTCGGATTCGGGAAACTGATTAGAGTTCCCCCCTTTCCCCCCCCCCCAATTTTGAAGATCCCTCAGCATACCCGAAGGGTCCGTTGGTACCTTGTGAGGACCTGGGACCCCTTCGACCCCTTAGCACCTTAGGCGCTTGACGATCAGAGGTCCCAACCATAACACTGCTAGCGGTTCACACGGCCTGTACGCTTGTTTGGGGGTCGACAACATTTGACAACTCTGAGGCGTCCTTGCCTTCGGGCAACGGTCATAGGTGAAGACGTCTCTGCGCCTGACTTTTGCGGACCACAGGAAAAGGATCTGTCGTGTCTTCCGGAAGATGACTCCAGGCACTAGAAGGTCAAACTGATCCATCAGTGTTGGGCACCGAAAGTTGGTGATCCCCCTCGTAACCCCCTGTGGGGGGGGGGGTTACTTACTTCTTGAGCTTCTGGACTTTTACTCTTGTAGTAACTAGAAAGTTTGGTCTTTTTTGGGCCATACACTCGGGAGGTCATAACCCTTTTTGTAGCCATTCCCAAAATGTTCATGGCTGTGAATCAAAAACATGGTACCATTTTGGGGTAGGTGCACCACCCATTTTAGTCTATGTTAGTGGGGATTGGGATGTTCACTGGATGTACGGGATTTTGACCCATGGCCATGTAGTTTGGACACCTCATTTTGGTCACCGCAGTCGTCCCAGATTGGCGAGAGTCGCTGGCCCTGCTGTCGTCGCTGCAGAGCGACTTCTTGGAATGCGGCCGCTTTCAGCCACATGCCCGAGCAATGCCAGTCTCCTGGGTCCGGAGGTTCCCTCATTGGGGAGGGGGGTTGTTGACCAATGACAAGCTTGGCGGCTTTTGTATGAAACCAAACTTGTGACAAACACATCTGCTACGGTCATGGCAACTTCTAGATCATTGAACCGCGGCAGGTTCTTACAAGAAACTTGCTACATAAACCGTGGTTGTTGACCGTCCCTTATGTCTGTCTTTTTAGGGGCTTTGTGGGGGTTTCCATTTAACTCACTCAAAGTTATACAGGGGATCTGAGGACAGACCTGTAACGTTGGAGTTGCCAATGTGACTTTGGGGCTCCCGGCCGTTTTTGCAGAATGGCCAATGTGGAGATCACCCAGACTTCCATTTTCTTACCATGTCTTTTTCCCTGTTGGTTTTGAAGGGGAATCAATTTCACCTACTGGACACAGTTTTCTCATTTTGTCCAGGGGACGAAAAAGCAAAAGGAGGCCGAAAAGATCTGATTCGGCTGGTACTGAGGGTCATCATCATGCAATCTGGCTGTGCGGATGACCGCGTATTCGGTGGACTCTGTTGTCGCTGTGTCTGTTTGGTGCATTTTTTGAAGGACGTCCAGAAGTTCACCCATTGTTCATCTTATTTGGTATGCGTCACACCAGGGGGAAGCCCTACAAGGGGTGGGTTCCTGTAAAACAACCCAGAAAGTCGGATCCAGAAAAAAAAATATCCGATGCGAGTTATTCTTGCTTGAAATGGTTTCAAGAGACTGACATAGGGTACACCCATCAAGCTACTGCAGAAATCCTGGTGGTCCGTAGCCATTTTGGCTCAAGTGCACCGGACTTTCCACTACAATGAAAGTGAGAAGGTCCACAGCCCGAGCAGATGGCAAGGCTGTCAAGTCCGGCTTGAAGAGACCGGCTGCAGCCTCTGTGAAGAAGTCTGGCTTGAAGAAGAAGCCGACTTCTAGATCAGTCCCAGCTTCAGTGTGCTGGCAGTGCTTTGGGAAGCACGAGCGTAGCAGGATCCGAGCTGATGGCGCCAGGGTCCACTGCAAGAAGTACGCGTGGTGCTTCCGTTGCGGACTTGCCAAGCCAACGGAGCATGGGCACAAGCAAGCATCTGGAGGAGGCCTGCGTTGCCTTGGCCAGGGCGTTCCGAGGCCTGGCCACTGGCTTGGATGGGCTTCCGCGCCTGACGCTTGACTTTACTAAAGCATTTGACCTGCTTGACCCGGCCGTGACACGTGAGGTGTTGCTGCATCTTGGGTGGGGCCGGGCCTTTGTGGAAGTTGCCGTGCAGGTTTGGCAACGTCAGCGCCGCTGGATTAAGTACCAGTCCCACACTCATCTCGAGCAACTTGCGGGGCCTGCTATGCCCCAGGGCGACCCCTTGAAACCAGGCCGCTCATAATGACTGTTTGGGCATGGCTTGGGTGGCGCCAGGTGGAGCAACGATGGCCCCACATGTCTGCGCAAACTCGCATGTATGTGGACGACAGAACTTTCACCACAGCACGTGCTTGGTGTTTGCAGGAGCGGTTTCAGCACTGGCAGGCTTGGTCGACTGCCGTGGGGCTTCAGGAGAACGCCAGGAAGGCGGCTGCGGTTGCGTCCACGCCGGCTCGCCGAGCTATCCTCCGGCGGGCCTTGCCTGAGCAGACGCGGCACGACGTGGAGCTGCTTGGGTGTTGTATGCAAGATAAACTTGCAGATGGTAGTTGGTGTGTGCGTGTGGACAGAATTCGCTTTGCAGTTGGAATGGGTGAGCCCACTTGTCCGTCCCGAGAAGAATCATTTCCATCGCGTTCAACCATGTCCAATTCGTTAGGACACCAGCCACGGGTTGCCCTGTCACAAGTTATTCTTGGCGATCCCAACATTTGAGTTTCACATTTGTTTGCTTAGAGGAAGCGAACAATGTCTGGCCCACAAAGCAAGTGCTCACGTCCCAAAAGGGCAACACCCATGAAACCAACGAGGTTCTCAGATATGTCGCTCGTTCGTGGGTCCCAAATGTGGCAAGGAGTACTTGCCAAAACTGCGGATGGACGAAATCCATTTCGCACCACCTAAGAAACCCTGGAATGATTAAATCGTTTGTCAACACAGTATGGCACAGGCCTCCTCTCAGTGACTTTGCTCGTAGGGCCTGTGTACTTCTGGGAACCCTGTGGCCATGGGTCAATTTCAAATCGGAGCCCCAGTGACCAACCACTCAAATGGGTCCTAAAATGGCTAGGCCCCCAAAACGGGATCCATTGTTTTTGACCCACAGCGTGTGTGCTCCTAGGCACGGAGCCGTGCTGTCATGCTGCTCAAAGGCCGGCTGTACGAAATCGACTCAAACGTCCGTCACAAAACTTCAGCGCGTTGCTCCCTTTACTTGCTGGTGCTCAGAAGGGAGTTTGGGAATGAACCCAGGAGTCCCGTAAAAGGAAACCACCAGTTGGATGGTTTATAAGAGTCATTCCATGTCTCATTCCCTGCCTATCGCGCCAGCAAGCTAAAGTGCTCATTTGAGAAGTCACAGGGAAAGCGCACAAGCACAAACGCCAGCACACAGACACACAGACACACAGACACACAGACACACGGACACACGGACACACGGACACACGGACACACGGACGCACAGACACACGCACAGACACACACACACAGACACACACACACAGACACACAGACACACAGACACACAGACACACAGACACACAGACACACAGACACACAGACACACAGACACACACACACGGACACACGGACACACGGACACACAGACACACAGACACACACACACACACAGACACACACACACACACACGGACACACAGACACACAGACACACAGACACACACACACACAGACACACAGACACACAGACACAGAGACACACAGACACACACAGACACACACACACAGACACACGGACACACGGACACACGGACGCACAGACACGCAGACACACACACAGACACACACAGACACACACACACACACGGACACACAGACACACAGACGCACAGACACACAGACAGACAGACAGACAGACAGACAGACAGACAGACAGACAGACAGACAGACAGACAGACAGACAGACAGACAGACAGACAGACAGACAGACAGACAGACAGACAGACAGACAGACACAGACACACACACACACACACACTTTAAACTGCCAAGAAAGGGTGTCCCTGAACCCATGGGGGCTCTGAAGGTCTAGAATGACACCGCCAATTCATGTGCGCCTCGACAGGTCCCTTGCTGGTCTTCAGTTTGTTCATGCACAGAAGCACCTTTTTTTTAATGGCCTGTTCAGACGCCTCGCGGGGCGCGAACAGAGAGCTGTGAAGGGCCAATTCATTTGAAACTCCCCTTGCTTTGGTTGGATGAGTTACAATCATTCACCCTCCTTTTTGAGAGGATACTGAGGATAGAGCTTCAGATGGCAGCGCATCACCTTGTTTATGAGACCCCCTCCACTATATAAACCCCAGCGCCCTCTGTTTCTCCCCATAAAAGCACTTGAAAAAGCAGGCATCCGTATTTGTTCCTTTTCCAGGAAGCATGGTGGGGGGAGAGCGTCGCGGTGCATGAGGGGATGACTCAGTCGTATGTGGGGCCTACGCCCCTCCTGGAAATCATGTTGAACACCTTCAATATACAACACCCTCCAAGCGCTCCTCCTCCAATTGAGTCACCTCAACCTCTCAATTATAGTATATATATATATGTAATTGCGTGGTTGGGGTGACTCATTTGGAGGAGGAGCACCTCGGGTTTGTCTGATGTGGAGGGTTTCTTCGGGTGTTCGGTCAGGCCGCAGCCTGGCGTACTGCGCTCGAAATCCCTCGGGAGGATGCCAGCGCATACACCAGTGCCATGCAGGCGAGGTGGTCGCGGCATGGCTTAGCCCCACCCCTGAAAGCAGGGGAGGGGCTTCATGGAATCGGCGTGCAAACATTCAAGCCCCACCTCTCTAAAAATGGAATTGGGGGAGGGGGGGCGTGATTTCTGGAGATCTCCATTTATGGTTCCATGTTCCCCCTTTTTTTACGGTGGAAGACGTAGTAGATATATGGAATTGGGCTCCCACTCCCCTCCCCCTTGTGGGGGAGAGCTTTAAGGAATTGGTTCAGGAACTTGTTTGCAGTTGGGAGCTTTTTGGGATCCTTGTTGGAGGATCCCCCCTTGTTGGAGACCATTCACGACTCCGCGGGGCAGTTTCTATGCTTTATGTTGGTTCCGGACCTTGGAAACTTGCTGGGATTTCTTGGTGGCTTCCAGGCATCCGGTTCCTTAGCCTTGTGTTTAGTGGTAGCTTCCAATTGAACCCACAAAAAGTGAAGCTTTTAGCGGGCGATCTGAGGGCCCAGAATGAATCCCCTGCCCTTGGATTCAATCCCCTCATTCACCATGGAGCTCGGAATGGCGGTCTCCCAAGGAGTTTTCGATCCAACGGGTTCTCCTGGCTCCCCCCAGTTTTGGACTTCAAGCTGTTTGAGGAAAAAACATTTCAGTCGTAAACAGCACGTCTGGACTTGTTTGCTGACTTGTTGGTTTGTTTCATCATTGGAAGCCACCGACCGCCCGGAACCTGTTGACATCATCCCGAACAATAGCCGTAGCGATGACAATGACATGGCCATGATTGCAGAAAGCTGCGTTGTCAGCTGGCAAAAAGCCCAACTTGGCAACAATCAGCGTGTGGCAAAGATAAAGTTTGGACGCGTGTTGGTCACTCTGTAAATGAGTACCAGTACCTGTGATTGTTTCGACGTTCTTATGAGTGTGTTCCCTGGAAATCCGATCTTACTTCCAAATATGTTTATCCAAAGCCTAAGTTAGGCTTCGGATCCTATCGCTTGAGGACAATGTAGCATCCATTTGCATCTGTTTGAAAACAATAGTGCATCACCCAAGCATATCATGGTGACATAGCAAGGAATTTCACCCAGCTTTCTTGTAGGTGTCTAGCGTATCCAGCAAAGGTTTCTCGCTCAGTCTTCCGGTGGCAACCATAGCGGCGCGGAGGATTGGCTGATGCCTTTGGGTCTTATGCTTGGAAAAGAAAAACAAAGCGAAAAGGATGCCCAAAGAAACCCAAGCGACCCCCCCCCCCCGGAAGAAAAGCAAACAGAAACTGACATGACATAAAAAGACACAGCAAGACCAAACAGCCCAGAAGACGATTTTTCAGAAAGCAAAACAAGAAGAACGGGAAAACACAAGGAAATCCTGGGGAATTTCCTCAAACGGAAGCTCCCGTTCGTTCAAGCCGCGCCAGGCCTCTCAGCGGGGTTTGCGCTGGGCGGCTTGCCTGGATCTCCTGGAAGAGATGGCCGCAGCCTGAGCGGGCGGAGACAGAGCCACGGTAAGAAGGGTCTTTGGACCTTCAAAGCAAGGGGTGTTCTCTATCTATTAGTTTGAAAGGGTGTTTCTCTATTACTTCTTTATTTCTCTTGAAGCACCCTTTGAAGGTCCCCTTAAAGCCATGCGTCCTCGAGATTAGCAATGGCCCGTGGAATGCCGGCTATTACCGGCTCGGGATGATTGACAGAGCCCCCTCAAATCATGATTACTGACATCCCCTCTGAAAACTCAAGTGGAACACATGAAGCATGCAGAACAAGTGGAACATTGGAAACATGTAGCAATAAGGCGGCAAAGGCGATCTTTGGAACCTTGCCAGCTTTGACAGCTTCCAGCTCCAAATGAACAACTTGCCCTACAACTTTCTTGCTTCTTTCGGCCGGCTGATCTCGCTTCTTTGTCTCGGCAACTTCCGTTTGCACCTTCTCGGCTTGTAAGCTCCACACATGGGCCACTCTGCCATCCAATTTGACAAGGCAAATTGTGTCTTCATAGGTGGCCTTGTTGGGTCTGTGAGAACAATGGCACTGGTTGACTCAGGTTGACTCTACTCGGCTCCCAGCCATCCGGTTCCTTAGCTTTTAGCTTTTTAGTTGGTTTAGTTCAGTGGGGGGTTTCCAGTTAACCCTCTAGAAGTTGAACTTTTATTTGGCGGGGATGAGGACAGAAACCATTTGCCAGTGTCTTTTTTACCAAAAGGACTGCCAGATGGTCTTGCGGCTCCACCTTGATCTAGAGACCTCTCCATGTCCATGTCAGTTTTGTAGCGACAAGCCACTGCTTTCCAACCTGAAAGGAACTGTTGCGTCAAAACTGGCTCTCCTGATGGCCGATCTGCAGCCAGTAGATCTTGCACTGCCAAACTGGCTTTCCGTTTGCATGCTATATCCTGCATCGAGCTGTCCTTTACTTGAACCGCCGCAAGGATGTCGCATTGAGAAGGGATGAGAGTTCTGCTGCCAAAAAAGTGCGACACCTTGGGGGCAAACTAATCAGATCAGGCGACTCGCAATGAGCTAAATGTTGCCCTTGAGACACTGTACGACCCATACAGAAGCTCACGGCGGGGGATGTGCCTGGGCCGGGCACATACCTGGCATGCACCAAACCTCCACGTGGTGCCCCCTGGACACCCACCTAAGCTCCTCAGAGGCCATAAGCTAGGAAACAGGTGTGCGGATACAAGACGGTGGCAGTAAGATATGTCTTTGTTTATGCGATCACGCTACACCGCCACGGCACAGATAAGCAAGGAACACAATAAGAGCACCTGTCGTTGACAGAGAGACGGATGCGCCTAACACAGATGTAAACACGGCGACGACCACACACTGGCACGCGCACCTCAGGTGAGGCCAACGCCAGCTTTCCGCGTCCATCGCGGCGAGCACCCCAGTCTCTGGGGGGCGGGGTGCAATCGGGGGAGAGAGCGCGGAGAGGCGTTGGGGCAGTGTCCACCTTGGGGACTCGGTGTGGCCTCGCCCTTCCTCTCCGACGCCCCTTCCTCCCGGGGGGGCGGGTGGGCGCCGACTTCCCAAATAATCTTTGTGGGTCTATGGAGCCAGTAACTCTCGCCCTACAGAACCTCGCAATCACGGTCAATGGTCACGGAGAAAACAGACGCTGAAAGTTTACGCCTCACACGCCTATCGGCTCGGAGGAAACAAGCTGAACACGAGAGTTGACCAAAATGCTACAGGAACGCAATTAGCCTTTCGCCCAAACACAGACACACAGACACGCACGCACACACGACCACGCACGCCCAATCACCCACGCGACCAGACTGGCGTTGCCCAGGCGCCGAGACTGTCGCATCGCGCACACGGAGCCACAGGGAACACCTGCGCAAGTAACCTCACGACACAGCAGGAAGGGAAACGCGGAAAAAGATACAAACACGACAACCATCTACAACGCACAAGAGCCGACACATGCCCCTGCCCGCCTTCTGGGGCGCTCTAGCGCAAAGATGCAAACGGCAAAAGAGGAAACGACCACAACTCCGCTCACAGGCCATACAACGCGCGCGAGAAAAGCACCAAGCCAAGAGGGTGTGTACCATCGGAACGTGGAACACTCGACAGATGGGAGCCACGAAAGGCCGAACCGACCCAGTCCTGAAATTCCAGCATATGAGCTGCCTATGGGAACGACGGGGATGGGAAATAGTGATACTTACGGACAGTAAGTGGGGCAGGCACGAACAGTTTACCATCCAGGGAAACCGACACACCTGGACGGTGATCAGCAGGGGCAAGGTCTCCGTCGCACTCAACGACAAGTGGAGACAGTCATGGCAGGCGGGAGCCATCCCCGCCAGCACGGACGGCAAGGGCGCCGAATGCCGCGTCATGCTCCTGCAACTCCCTTGCTACAAACGAATGGGGATAGCGGTAATGGCCGTCTACGCCCCAAGCTCAACGGGCAGCGTGGATGACCTGAGCGAACACCTGGAGGACCTGGCCAAGGTGGCTGGACAACGGCGCAGTCGCTTTCACTTGGTGGTGGAGGCGACTTCAACGCAGAAGCGGGGTCACGACAGGGGGACAGAGACCAGGCGGTCGGACCGCATGGAGTAGGACGTCGCAATGAAAGAGGCAGAAAGCTGGTCCAGGTCTGCGAAGAACTGGGATGGTCGGTCACGAATACTTGGGCTAACCAGAGGCAAAAGACCACGTGGAAACATCCGCGATACAAATCCGAACACCTCTTGGACTACATAATGGTAGAAAGACGCCACCTCCGCAACGTGCTGCGTGTCCTGACGCTACACCGCGACCTCGCAGATGAATACGGCATCCCGGATTGGGAGGAATACACAGATCACAAGCCAGTAGAGATGCGCATCAAGCTGGCGCCACCAAAGGGGCATAGGGCCCAGCAAGTGGTCGCCGAAAGACCTGCTCTGTACAAAGGAAGAGGTACGGGGGAACAGGCCAGGAGGTTACGGCAAAGGTATGCCGAACAACTCGCTGAGCTGAGACAAGCAGCAGGACCGGGAGCGGACTGGCGAGGCATACAGGAAATGACCAAGCAAGCAGCCCTGGAGGTGTTCGGACGGACGGAGAGTAGACCACGCCGCCCTTGGTTCCGAGGGAGAGAACACGAACTGCTGGAGATGAACCACGAAGTCACCACCAAGCAACGGAGAGCCGACGAACTGCACGCCGCTGGCGCGCGACCAGAGGCCAGCCCACAGGAGGTCGCGCTGTGGCAAGGCGCTAAACGGGATCTCGCAGCGAGCCGGCGCCACAAACGCAGACGACTGATCACGTGGGAGAACGAGTACTGGACACAGGTCGGGGAACAGGCGGAGCGAGCCGAGCACCGAGGAGACCACTACACGCTGTATAGTGTCATGGAACAGCTCCGAGCCAGAGGCGCCCGAGCTGCGAACATGGGAGAGAAGGAAATCTCGGGGGACCCGTTCGCGGCAGCCGCGTCGTGGAGACAGCACTTCAAGCAGATTCAAAACGGGGCGGAGCCCGTGAACGCAACGGTATGGCAGAATGTGCCCGTCTCACCGCCATCTCCTGTCACGCAACTGGACACCGAGCCCACTGCGGCAGAAGTCAAGGCGGCGCTATATAAGATGAAAACCGGCAAAGCGAGATGGAGTCGCCGCGGAAATGATCAAATGGGGACCGAGCGAGATGCTAGACGACGTGACACTGTTAGTGCAGGCCATATGGACCCAAACGGTCACCGCGGCCGAACACGCCGAAGCGGACTCGTGGCCGCCTGAGTGGTTGAGCGCCATCGTGATCCCGCTGTGGAAGAAAAAGCACCCGAAAACGGACAAAGGTAACTGGCGCGGCGTGACGCTACTAAGCACCGGGGTCAAACTGCTAGCTCGGATCGTGGCCGGACGCGTGCAACGACTCAGCGAACCATTTATGGACGAGACCCAGCAAGGATTCAGAAGGAATCGAGGGGTCGACGACGTGCTACAGGTGACCCGGCGTCTGACAGAGGAGATATGTTTCTCCAAAACTGGACCGGAGGTACGCCTTACGTTGTATGACGTCGAAAAGGCTTACCCCAGAGTGTGCCGCGAAGCGCTCTGGAAGCTCATGCAAAGACGCGGAGCCCCGACGGGCCTCATCAAAATATGCAGAGCCCTACACGACCACACGGATTTCCAAATCCGTGTAGCCGGCACTATGTCAGACTCCTACACGGCGGACAGAGGTCTGAAGGAGGGCTGTCCCTCTTCGCCCCCGCTCTTTAACCTGTATCACCAAGCAGTGCTGCAGGACTATCGCGTGCGACGCACGCAACAGGCGAGCAGCGCGGGCGTACAACCAGGGATTCTCTGGCGCTACCGGGTCGATGGCCAGCTACAGAAGCGCGGCAGCGCAAAGCAAGCGACACGAGATACCTGGGAGACCGTGCTTGGGGACATCGAGTTCGCAGACGACACGGCCACTATAGCCACGGAAACAGAATTCGCCGCCGCAGACCAGATTCTGGAGCAAACATTCCAGGACTGGGGCGAAAAGATCAACCGCAAAAAGACAGAAACTCTACGGTTGAAACCTGGCGCACAACCGGACAAGCGTCAGGCAGACGCCTCTCAAGTGCATAGCGTGCGACACGTTGGTGGACACCTGACGGAAGCAGCCACGCAGTGGACCGACACAATACAACGATGCGTGCAAGCGCGACGACGCGCGAAGGAAATTGCCAAAGCATGGTCTACCGGCACAAAACAAGGACGTGGCGAAGGCAGCAGGGTCAGGATCGCGACCCGCCTCAGAGTGATGCGCAGCGTGGTGGTGCCAACCCTCACCACCTTCGGACGATCCCGACCATGGACAAAGGCGCAAGTGGCCGCCGCACAGGCAGTGCAGAACTACGCCATACAGCGATGCTTCGGGCTGGACCGCCTGGCAATGCGGGAGCAGCACATACACAGTGAACAGCTCCATCACGCTGCCAGATGGCCAACAGTGGAGCAGGTCCTTATGCGCAACACGCTCAAATGGGTAGGACACGTAGCGCGCATGCCGCCGGATAGACTGCCCAAGATCGCGCTATGGGGTCAGTGGGCCGAGGGAGGCAACCGAGGTAGCCACGCAACGCTACACACCCAATGGATCAAGCAAGCTCTGCAGCAGGCAGAGATCCATGAAATGGACTGGTTTCGCCTGGCCCAGAACGCCGACGCCACGCAATGGGCGAGCCTACTCAACAAGGCCTTCCCGACGACGCCGCTCTCCAAGACCGACCGGAACCGCCTCAATGAATGGAGACCCGGACCGCCGATCCCCACCCACCCAGACCCGCGCAGACGCCTTACGCGGTCAGTGTGGAACAAACCGGCAAGCGCCGTCTCTACCAACGAATGTCCGGCATGCGGCCTACTGCGCAGCGACCCGCAGAAGCGTCGGCGGCACTACACAGCCGAACACGCAGTGATCGGACACCAGACCACGACCATCCAGGCGCACTAGTGCACGGAATGCTTCAGACAGTTTCCGTCAGCGAACGCTTTGGCCAAACATGAGTGTCGGCGCATCACTGACGTACCCGGCGGAACCGAGGTAGAGGCTCAAGGGTGGAGACCGCGACTTGCCACAACTGGAAGCAGTACCAGCAAAGTGGAAAATCTACACTGACGGGTCTGGGGGGGAAAATGGAGGCAGCGTGGCGGGCTGGGGCTTTGCGGTATACGACGACCACGATACCAACGAAGCCCACCCCCTCTTCCAGGTCTATGGGCCCGTCGTCACGGACGAGAGCGATCAGAGATGGCTAGGGGCCCAGAAACACAGCAACAACACGGCAGAATTGACTGCCATCGCTGAGGCGCTGACATGGCTGCAAACGGAAGCACCAGGCCCGGAGCACGTGCCGGTGAGTATCCGGTACGACTCCCAGTACGCGGCCAACGCAGTGCAAGGAGCCACTCAGGCGCAGGCGAACCGGCAGCTGGTAGAGAAATGCCGTGAGATACACGTAAAGGTCCAGGCACGCAGAGCGATCGACTGGACCTGGGTAAAAGGTCACGCGCAAGTGGCAGGAAACGAAATGGCCGACAAATTAGCCGACAAGGGCAGTCGCGGAGAAATAGGAACCCACAGCCGCAGATGGGCAGCGCCCCACAGGCTAGCACTCACAAGGGAAAGCGCGGAGAAATGCCGAGGGTGTGGGCGCCTCTTCCACAGCGCGCGTAGGTGCGCCGCGCACGAGAAAAGATGCCCGGAGTGCTACGATGTGGACGACACGCACACTTGCAGGAAATGCGGGGACACAATGAAGAACCGAAAAGCCCGAGACACGCATGAGCCCAAGTGCAGAGGCGACCGCACGAAGAACAAAACTTGTGAGTTCTGCAACAAGGTGCTCTCGGACATGCGCCGCCGGATCAATCACGAAGGAGGCTGCCAGGAGCGCAACGCTCAAGTTGCGCCGTCGGATATCTACTGGGAATGCACGTGCGGGTTTCAGATTAACCGAACGGGACGCAGTGAAAGACACATGCAAGGCACGCAAGAAAGGCACACGACGTATTGCCGGGGAACGCAACAGGCAAACCACACCTGTAACAAATGCGGAAAAACGTGGGAAACCATCTTGGCCACGCAATCGCATGAGTCGCAATGCCGGGGATCGGAAGAGGCTCAACTCACATGTCTCTGTTGTGGCAAAAAGTGGAACACGCTATCGACACGCTACAAGCACGAGCAAAAGATGAAACGCGAGAACCTTCAGTAGGAAACAATCCTGCACGCAACGGACTCACGGTCACACCCAAAAACCATTTCACACACACACAGCATAGCCCGCGTCCTCAGGCGCCGCGTCCTCTGGCGCAAAAAAGGGGGGAGCGTCCTCTGACGCCAAGCCGGCAACAACCGGCGCACACACATTTAAGGAAACAAGGGTTCCATGCATCGCCATTTCGGCTTAAGAACCGCACACACATCTAGTCAGCCAGCCTCGAACGCCAGAAAAAAGAAAAAATGCCCAGTCAACGTCAGCTGGACCAAGTCCGATGCGACGTAGATTACCTAAACCAGCCTTTGCGGCTGGTGCTTTTGGGATTTTCGGTCCTCGATCAGTTGCACCGCAGCCTGACGGAGTCGCACGAGCTTCACCTGTTCACGGATCAGGCCATTCCCTTGCTCAACGGGCACCTGTTCGCCACATTGCCCACGGATTGGACACGCCCACGCCTGTCCCCGGCGGCTGACACAGCCAGAGAAGCAATCCAAAACCTGCTCACACCCACCTTGGGCGAGCAGGGGGCAAATGGGCTGAGCACGATAGTGTTTGGGCACCGCCCCGGAGCGCTGACGCTCCAGGAGTACCTCACCACAGCGGCGGCGGTCGGCATATTCCGGCAAGGCGATGCCAGTAACTACCTGCTTCGTCTCAGGAACAATCTGGCGGGGCAGACCGTCGCTCACGTCTTGATGACCGTGGCAGCCCCGTACCTCCGTGCGCTGGAAGGAGATGAGGCCGATCACGGAATGCGGATCTTCTGCGACCGCAACATCAGAGGAGAAGCTCCCGCAAAGGGCAAGGGGAAGAAAGGAGGAAAAGCAAAAGGCAAAGCCAAGGGAAAAGCACCGAAGGGCAAAGGCAAGGCGGGCAAAGGCAAGGACAAAGGAAAGGCGGCCAAAGGAAAGGGACAGGCAGACCCCGGCAAAGGAAAAGGCAAAGCTGGGGATCGGCGGGATCGGAGTAGATCCCCGAGTGCAAATATGGAGATTGATGGCGCGGGGGCGCCGGCGGAGGAGTGAGCTACCGCTCCGGTCCCCCAATTTTTCCCTTTTTCCCTTTTTCCGAACCATGTACAGATTTAAGCATTTTTCCGAGGCTTCGAGACAAGCTGGCGGTGTACCACTTGGCACCGGAAGCGCCTCTCTCTCACATGCCCACACACCCACGCACTTGCACACGCACACACAAGCACACACCTCCGAGTCACACACGACACCATGCTCTCCCGCAGTGCACACATGACCATGATGCGAGGTTGGTTCGGTGCCAGCCATGGCGGGCGCCCACGAACCAGCAGCAGCAGCAACTTGAACCGCCACGCTTATTCCGCGTTGCACTTGGGGGGGGGGGGGCCGCAAAATTATTTGTTCCCTGCCCCCCCTCCCCAAGCAGAACAAACACACAAACACACCAGTCAACTTGAATCCCCCAAAGCTCAAGCACGGCTCTTTGAGCCTGGGGAGTGATCATTCGTTCCAGGCGGGGACGAAAGTCCTAGGTCACCATTATCAGCAGGGGTCAATAAGTGTGAGAAGCACCGATTGCGGCAGCAGTCGGAGTGCAGACGCTCAGTGGGTAGCTTTCGTTGTCCGCCATTTTTCCGTTAAAATCAACGACAGAAAAGAAGGAGCCCTGTTTTTTGGGCGGCCATAATTCTGGACATGCAGAAACTGGGGTCTCGAAGTCATCAAATTTGCATTCTACTGGTAATGCATCACACTTTTGGTCGGGTTTCCCATGATTGCCACCTTTCAAGATTGTTTTTCGTTGTTCAGCGCGTTTCCAAACCTTCCCTCCCTCCCAGTCCCCGCCTTTTTCTTTTTTTCTTCGACTCAGGTTTGTGGCTCAATGGGAAACCCCTTTGTTTCACCACCAAGCCGATGCTCCAAGCCAAGGGCCGCCGATTGACCCTTCGGATGACCCTCGCCTCAGGCGGCGCGGCGTGTTCCCGTGGACCTCCAGGCCCAGACCGCGGCGCTCGCGGGAAGTTGGCGCCGGGCGCTGACGAGCGCGCGGCGCCACAGCCTGGAGCCGAGCCGTCGAGCCCTCGAACCGTCGAGGGCGTCGAAGCGGCTCGAAAGGGGCAGAGGGAGAGAGGTGGCCCTTTGGGGGTTGGCCGGAGAACCCATGAGAACGCCCCTTTGCTGGAGTTTTTTTTTTTTTTTTTTTCCGCTGTGGGCTTTGAAGGAGAGAGAGGTGGCCCTTTTTTTGGGTTTTGGCCACATATCTCATGAGAACCTCCCAACGGATGGCAGTTTTTTCTCACTTTTTTCCGGACCCCCCTTTTTAATCGGATTCGGTAGGTTTCTGGGTCAATTTTTCCTGACACCCCTATGTAACCCCTACCAATGCTGTGTGGACAAAAGGGACTGGTATTGTTCTTTTCTTTTTCCTGAACCCCCTATATCACCCCCACAGATTCTGGCCAATCCCCCGAAAATTCAGACTCAACAGGACGAACTTGTGCGTATGTTGTATTCCACGTGTCCTGCAAGAGAAGACTCCGGCAGTCGCAAGACTGGTCAGGAGCCGGACAGCGCCTGGTCCGTGATGGTGCTGAAAGCTTTGGAGCCTCGCAGCTGGCACCGAGCCTTCCACCAGCTGCAGGCGAAATTTGGACCAAATCCCTCGCGACAAGCCATGGGTTGGAACCATAGAGCTATCGGTTGGTATCAGAGTCAGAGAGCCCACGGGGGACGCCAATAGCGGGATTGGATTTCAGGCAGCTTTAGGCAGAAACCAAGAACAGCCCGAGAAACCAGATGTGCTGAGAGGCGTCCAGCCAACAAACGCACAACTACGGACCCGTTTGCGCGATCCCCGGTTAAGGGCCGCCGAGTACTGGGGAAAGCATATGTCATTCCGTTGGGTTTCTTAGGATTTTGTCCATCCACAGTGCTGCTACTGCGCTGACACAAATCAATGACTCCTATCCTGTGGACGCGCTCGCAGACTCAATTTGCATCACTGGGGGAGATGCACTGATCAATCCGAGAGGTTGGAATGCTATCTGGACTGATTCTTTCCCACGAATCTCCGGCCATGCCACAGACGGACAGTTGGTTCGGCTTCGTTCCCACCTAAGAACGAGCAACACATTGATTGTACATACTTGCGGTATAGCGATCATTTTTTGGGCAATTTCATCAAGACCTCATCACACCATGCTTTCAGAAACCAGCTGGCCAAGCGTAGATTTATATCACTTGCCTAGCCAAGCATCGCTACCCCCCCTTCCTCCCGCGCCCCTTCATGTGTCTTAAGAAATTCACATCCCCAAGGTGCAGGGTTGATTTGCCGTCGCGATGGTGCGTCCAGATGATACGTGAACTGCGCAAGCTAAACAAGATGCGTGAATTAAGCATCAGACAGATTTGTGTTCCCTTGGCGTTTCAGGGTATTCTTAGAGAGCTGGTGGTGCTAAGGGATATTCATGGATGAGATCGTTGCAGCTGAGACAACAAGGGTTGACAACCATACGTATTTGATGTGGTTGCATCCAAGCACCGCAGGATGGACTTCCCTGAGGAACATGGATCCCAGAAAGAGGGTCTTTTGGTACCTTCTGAAAAGCGACTTAGACTCCTTTTTACCCCCCAGAAAGCCAAGCCACCTGGGGTACCACCTTCTTACAAGTGCGTTGGGCCGGTTGTAAGCAGGCGAAATTGCCGTGGTTGCTAACAGCTTAAACCTTTCCGAATCGAACCCCCAGCAAGTAGAATCATACCTCAGTCCCAGAGGGTCCCTGCCACTCGCCACGTCACTTCGAACTCCGAGCCTTCGCGGCGCTCGCGCGCTCGCTCGCGCGTCGGAGACTTCCAGGCGGACGCGCAGCGGGGCCTCAAGAAGGACGCGCGGCAGCTCTCGGCGGCCGCCGGCGCGTGGCCGAGGACGGGAGGAGTTGACCCCAGAAATTGGCGACCCCCGGTTTAGGGAAATTCGGGGGGGGGGGATTTGTCCATTCCATTTCTGGGTGTGTGGGGAATCAGACCACTGGGTTTTCTCGAAATTCGGGGGGGGGGGGTCCATTTCAAAGTACCTAGAGTCTCCATGACCCTTGAAAAGTGGGTCATTACAATTAATAATGGGGTCATGAGCCTATTTCTAAAGGGTCATGGAGACTCCAGGTACGTGGGGAATCAAACCACTTTTGGAGGGGCCAAAACCACCCCCCATTTGAACTTCCACTTGCTATTTATCTTCCCTCCTTGGTTTTCGAGCGGATTCATCACTGGGCATAGCAAATGTAAGTTAAAATGGGGGCGGGGGGCCCTCCAAAAGTGGTCTGACTCGCCACATTTCACCCAGAAATGGACACCCCCCCTATTAATAAACTGGGGTTGATTAATATGGGGTCAACATTAAGTGATCACCCTGCATAGATCATTTCCTCAGAGATTACTCTCCGACCAATTCACATGGAACCTGACGTTCAGGACCGGGTCCCTTTATATAGAAGGAAAATGGTGAAGCCAGGACCCCTCAAACGTCAGGTTCCATGTTAACTCGTAGGGCTATTTGGGTTCATGTTTATTTTATATTTGTTGAAGCAGGTGGGATTTCCGAATTGGACCCACAAAAGGTGACATTGTTTTGCAGTGGTGAGTTACCCTCCAACATGGAACCTATCTTCCGGAGGACAAATTTCAGGTTCCATGTTAATTGGTGGGAGGGTAGTTTAAAAGGGAAACCAAAAGAAAGTCAACCATGTTGAGGGTTCCGGCTTTAACCGGAGACCAAAAGGAGAACCAATGTTTTTGGGCCCAAAGAAAGACATGCCCACATAGCTGCATGTTGAGGGGTTGCTTTCTGAAGGGGTTTCAAGAATTATTTTGGCAGGGGATAACTTGAAACTTCCATTTGGAGTTGATAATTTTGAGTCTCTTCCAAATAAAGCGGACAACCACCGCCTGGAGCACCTCAAAGCCCAGCCGCCAAAAAGGTAGCTGAAGTAAGGCTTGGCCTTTGGGTCTGTCACAGCATTCTGCCGATTTGGGCGGTCCTCCCGGGGGAAAAGCCGAGTGTGATAGGACCCGGCTCAGGAATGGGTCCATTTCCTAAAATGGCTATGAATTTTAATGGGGAACAGAACCCCCCACCTGAATTTGATGTCCACCAGTTCGGGCCCCTAATTAAAATTCACAACCGGCTTCCTGTTGGTTTTCAACCGTTCCATACCAAGCGAAAGGGGGCTTCCAAATCCATGATGAAAGTTTTAAGGTTCAGATACCGGGTTTGGGCTTGAGCTGACATTCTCTTCCTCTGAACCTGGAACCCACAAAGGGGGTCCCCCAGAAAAAGATTCCTCCATGTGTTTTGGTTTGGTTTGTTGTTGCTGTTGTTTTCTTGTTTTTTTATTCTTTGGGGGGGGGGAGTCCTTGTAAATTTGCAGGAGACTAAGCACAGCTTGTGCCATTTGACCTACTGCTTTGGGGTTGGGACGGTTGAGTCTGGTTGTTTCCTCCGCCTGTCAGGTCGCTGGAGTTCTTGGACCGACCAGGTGCCAACATTGTGGTCTACAACGTGACCTTGGCTTCACAGACCTAAACCTTCCAGTTGCCACTTCAAGAGGAAACCGCATGTAACACTTGGAGGGGGAAAAATTGGTTCACAAAAGTGGCAGGAGGCACTGGGTACACCTCAAACAAGTAGGGTCGGTTAGTTACAAGGTTGCCAATCCTGACCAACCTGACCTGAACCTGACCGGGGCGAGGCCCCTTTGGACGATTTTTCTTCAAACATAGGCTGGACGAAATCCTGCACCAATTTTAATACATGAAAAACCCTTGTTTGAGCTTTGGGGCATTTTGCTTGGCTGTTAGGACTTTAACTTTTTGCCAACTAATGGGTTTTCCACACTACCGTTAAAAGTTAAACCTTTAGCAGGGGAGCAGAAAGCAACCGAGTGAGGGTATCTACAGGGGAATCATCCGAAACCGGGGTTTCTCAGGCCGTGCGAAATGGATTTCGCAACCATCCACAGCACCTCCATAACCTTGAGCAAAGTGTTCAGAAGGCTGACCTACACAACTCTATATGACACGCTTAGGAAACTCGGAAACTCGCACATATCACCCCAAAAAAAAACTCAACTCAGCCCAAAACCCCCATTGGCCATTTTAGTTGGCCATAGAAAAGCCGGAAAAAAAACTGAAACAAAAGCAACAAGAACTTCTACGGCCATGTTGGTAGACCAAAAGTCCTGTATCGATGTCTCGCTCCGGCTGAGTCGATTCGAGGCCGTGAGCGCTGGGAGCCCCTGGCGCTCAGCGCTGCTGTCGCTGACTTCGGCCCTGCACGTGGCGCTGCGCCTGGATGCGCTGGGGCCACGCGGCTCGAACAAACACCAGACACGTCCTTTCCGGTGGGAGGGCAGTTTAAAGGGTTACCAAAAGGAATTCAACGGGGCTACCCCCTCTTGTTGGCGGGTTGAAAGGGACGCCAAAATGAAAACTTCCTTGAAAGGATGTTAAAGCCTTGCACAGGTGGACATGGGGGTCCGCCTGCCGATTCCCATTGAAAGAATGGCCCAAGGGGACCCATGGGTAGTTTAAAGGGTGACTTTAAAAGGAAGTCAACCATTTGAGGGGGTTCCGCTTCCTATTTCGGGCAATGTCATCGGAATTCGTTTATTAACGGGTGTGTGTTTTTTGTTGGGGAAGGCCACCCTTTGTTTGGTGGGTTTTAAAAGGACACCAAACAGGAACACAACACCTATTTGGGGGTCCCCAAAAAACAGACCCGGTTTCCCTTTCAAAGAAACCCAACAAACGTACCCTCAACAAAACGACACGCACATATACGACGCGCATATCAAGGAGCTCCGGTGGGTTTCCATTCCTTTTGCTTTCCCTAGTTTCCCCAGTTCCATTTTGGCTCTTGGGTCTTCCTGGTATTTTTTTGACTGTTTTTCCTCAAATCGAACGGGACGCTGAACAGATTCTGATAACCGGGTTCCAGCTTGCACCAAGTCAGATGCAGAGCATCCAACTCCTCTCCCCATTTGGGATCCCAGTTCCGGCCGCCCCCCGCCCCGCCCCGCTTTCCTCTGAAGAGAAGACGAGCTCGGGAGGTAGGCCCTTTTTCCTCTTGGATGGCGTAAAGCTGGTTTCCCGGTTGGTGTCCCTTAGGAACTCCAAGGAGTTCCCCGTTGGTTTCGTTCTAAAATCTCGGGTTTCCGTTGAAGCGATTGCGAAAAACCGCACCCTCGGAATTTGAATATAGTTCGACTTGGGCTCCTTGACATCCCCTTCCTGCTGCCAATGCAAAAACATGGGCCCCAACAAGCCTGAGGCAAAGGATTTTCGGGTACCTGGCCGGAAGGGCTTCGGGTCCCGCTTGCGAGCCTCAATAAAGAAGCTGGTCCCCAGCAAGGAGGTCTACGCAGCCCAGAAGTGCTTTGTAAGAGCTCCAGTTTGTCTTCGGAACCCTGCAGGTTTCAAATCCTGGAACTGGCATGCTGGATGCTCAATTCCAGGGCCGCTTCATGGCCCTGGACACAACATGATTCCTTTCGCCAAGCGAAATGGCAGGCTCGCATTCGCTTACGGCTCGGCTTGAGTTGAAGATCTTGGTATGCGAGTTGCCGGGTGATGTTTGAAGCCGTGGATCGATTCCATTCGGAATCGACTCTTGGCTCCATGAGGCCTTCTGAAAAGGGGGTCAAGTCCCTCAAGAGTGAAGTGGGTATGCATATTTTTTTCCGCCAGGAGGTGGACCGCAGGTTTTAGTCCTTTCCATTTGCCAGGTTCCATTTCGGGTACCTATGTTTTGAAAGCGCTGCTGCCCTTGTTCCCATCACTAGAGGTCTGTGAAAAGGCTTGCCCTTTCTCGCTTCATGAGCATACCCGTCACCCTTCCTTGTTTAGACTCCCAGACCAGAGTCCCAACCTCGCCTACTGCTTCGTAACAACTGAGACATGTTTGCAATGCAATAACTTGATGGTGGCAGAAAAATAAACTGTTAAGCCGGGCTCGGTTTATGTTACTCGTAACTTTGGATTGATCAGTTGGAACATACTAATCAGAGAAATCAATCTCCATCGAAAGTGGAACCCTCATTAACATGCTGTCGAGGCCAAATTGATCACCCTTGTCTTCTTCAAGACCAACTTGTTTTTTGTAGGTTGTTTCCGCGGCTTGATCGCTTTTTGGTTTGTTTGATTTGTCAGGTTTGGTTTGGGGCAGCCCGGCCCCATTTCTCAAATTTCGGTGCCTCGGAGGTACTGCTCCGCCGTGGCCGCCGCAAAAGCGGCCGGGCGCTGGGCGTGGGCGCTGTGGCTCTTCTGGGACCTCCCCAAACGACGTCTCCAAAGCGACGAGGTTTTGTTGACCGCTGCGGTGCAGGCGGGGTGGGGGTGGGGGTGGGGGTGGGGGTGGGGGAATCACCATTCCAGGGTTGCTCAGGTGGTGCAGGATTTTGTCCATCCACAGTAGGGTGTGTTCTGTGCGTTTTATCCCGGGGTGGGGGTGTGTATTTTTGTTTTTCGGTTGGAAGACCTTTCCCGCTGTTTTGAAGGGAACTCAATGGGAAACCAAAGCCCGCTTTGTGGCTTCCCATTTTGAGACAAGCCTATGCATAATGGTGTACACTCTTTTTGGGAAGGCGTGGTGTGTTTCTGTTAATTTCAGATTGATTGAAAATTGGTGGAATCTACTGGGTTTTGCTCGGTTCTAATTATTTGCGTGGGATGATGGATTCGGGCTCGTTGGTTTGTTGTTTCCTGCACGAGGAAATTGATTTGTTTGAGTTGTCCACGCCGACCTATTTTGGACTCAAAACAATTTGGCGGATTGATCACTTCGGCACGTCTCAGAATTGATTGTTTCTGATTTTCCAAAGTTGCCTGTTGAATGCATGGTTTTGTTGTCTAGGAACGGGCGGCTGGCAAACAGCAAATCACGACGATGAAGCATGTTGGGAAGCAATGGCACTTGCTTGTTTTGGGTGTGTTCAAATGACAAGGGCCGCACACAAAACGAGGGCAGCCAACCCCAGAGATTCCCGGAATGTTTGGGTTGTTGCACATTCAATTGGCAGCTTGACGGAACCATTATGTGGATTATTTTTTGGGTCATGCCCCCCAATGATGTTCACCATATATGATTATGAGGGTCTGGAAGAAGCTCTTTTAGTTGCAGTTAGTCAAGTACCCCACCATCCGGAATTAGTTCATCGGGGTGCGGGCAACACATGGCGTTTACTTTCAAAAGCCTTCCCCCTGGCAGGTAATGTGAAGGGCGAGTTCATGACTAGGAGTTGGCACCTCGCATTCTGACTTAGTTTGGTTTCAAAGTAGCCAGCCCATTCTAATTACTCAGTTGCCCAAAGCCGACCTTTTAACCTTTTGCTTTTCCAATTTTGGTTTATCTATAGTAAAGGCCCCAAAAGGTTAACCTTTTAGTTCCAGGTCCTTTGGGCAACTGAGATTATGTAGGCCCCTAAGCTTCAATTTTTTTCGGAGTTCGAAAACTTACGAGCCGTTCCTCAGCACTGACAGCAGCAAGCTCCAGGTGAGCAAAAGCGCGGGTTCGAGTGGAGTGGTGGGTGATATCACCTGAACCTGGCAGTTGCAGTAGTGTTCACAGTTGCGAGTGACAAGAGTAAAGACGAGATGTGCAGAAGATGTGTGAGATGTGCAAGATCAAAAGGTTTCAACTGCCCATGAGATATTTAGCTGGCTTGTGCTCGGCCTTTGGTGGGGGACCTTAGAGGCTTTTGAGACTTGGGAGTTTCGTATCATTGACAAAACATCAAGTCTAGGTGCCCCAGTAATGCCGCTTGTTTCCCTTTCTTGAGGGGAGGGTTCCCCTACTAAAATAGACTACAGAAAAAAGGGTACCCTTATTCTAACCCCTCTACTGGAGGACCTAGAAGTGGTTGCAAACAGAGCTTCGTTCTTTTGCATGCATCACAAACCTTCTGTGGTGAGTTTTGCAGCGAAACTTTGGGGTTTGGCGTCGAAACCCCGTGTTTTAGGTCTTTGGAGAGGTCCGTTGAGCCCGACCTTAGCTTTTGTTTGAAAGTGCCTATGGAACCCTTGGACGGTTTTGAATGGATTCCGAAAGGAAGCCACCTCCATGCCTTTGATCTTACCTTTTGCTTTAATCTTTCCAGTACCCTGGGATGGTTTTGAAGTCAAAAGGAAGCCAGCCACCCTGATTTTTCAGAAACCCAACTCCTAGGCCTACCCCGCTCCTGAGCCGAGCTTCTCCACGGGCGCACGCTTCGAGGCGTGCCCTGATTGGCAAGTGGCCGTCCTGCTCCTGGACTCCGCCCGCCGCGCGCGGATGCGCGGCTTGGGTGCACGGCCAGGACACGTTTTTCGTCTCTGCATAAGTTGCGCCGAGATAGGGGTGAACGAGCTCATGGTACACATTTTTGTTGCGTACATCGAGCCAGAAACACCCACAGGAATGCTTCACCCCCACCCCAGCTGAAAAAAGCTCGAGGCTCGCCCCCCTGGTCAAGCACTCCCTTATTTCAAGTTTGGGACACATTGTAAAATTGGCAGATTGGTCTTTCTGTGGGCTTGTCGACACGTGTGGCACTTACGGCCACTTGGAGGCAATGCTGTGTGTCGAACGGAGTGCTGACTGGCAAGGTGTGTGTGAATTTCCTCATTTGGGTTGCTGCTAAAAGGGAGCCGGTGTTGTCTCCTTCTTTTGACCTCTTGTTGTTCAATCCTGCTTTACGTTTTGGCCTTTTGCGCCTTTGGGGGGTCCCTTTTGCTCAGGGAATGGCCGTCCCAACCGATGTCATGACCTCAAAGGAGCCCGGGAGGAGGTGGACAGCTTGTTTTGGTTTCCTCGGCGACAGAAAGCTGTTCAGTTGTTCGAGCCCCATTTTTGACCCTCAGGTTTCTCAACAAGAACGTCCAAAAAGTCAAAGAGCTTCGAGAAGAACATAAACATGCATATGGTATCATGTGCCCAGACGCTCCCGATTTAGTTTGGGCCCTCAAACAGCCTGGTTTTGAGACCCCAAAACCCCCAGGAGCGTTTGGGTGAATCATGGTGCAACGAATTATGTAGTTTATACACGGCCCGCGGCGCTGTGTGAAATATTTGATATAAGTCTTCTAGAGCTGAACAGTTATCACCAGAATGATACATAATATTAACCTGAGAAGGCTTTACCGACAAATGCCCTTGGACTCAGACAACATTTGACAGCACACCCAACAGCTGCTTTGTCCTATACTGAAAATTCCAAGTATTGTCCACAAAGCAGTCGTTGGAGGGTGTTGCTAGTGAAGACTTCTACAGAGACCAGGGTTCCATTTGTGGATTGCGGATTAACCGTCCCCGTTTCGTATCACGAAGATCCAAACATGTTTATGGTAGCTCAATCTACTCTGCTGAACTTTGGGTGTTTTCAATGTCTTCAGACTTCTACAGACGGGACCAGGGTTCGGGTTCGTATAGGCAAATGGAACCCATCAGATATTCCCCGAGCTGAGGCCCTGCAGTGTCGCTGTCCCTGCAGGCTGATCCTCAGTCCTTGGCTGGGCGCCGTGGATAGCCGCTTTGTGAAAATCTCAAAAAAGGACGCCAACAGAGGCATATGTGCTTGTTCCGACCTGCATGTTTGCAACTTAGTTGGAAACATGTTGCTTCCCCCCCCCCCAAAAAAAAAAGAGAGAAAATAATCAAGAAACAAGAAACATAAATAAGAAGGAACAACAACTGAAAAACAAGTGTAGGATTGCTCGTGGAATGCCGACAACTTCTCCCACATCAAGTTGCGGCAAGCGAAAGCGCTGAGTTTTAGGGGTCCAATGCCCAGAACCGCAGACCTGCAGTGGGTGGCTTGGTCGCTTCCTTTGTCATTTGTTCCTATTTGTGGGACGCGGGTTCAGACTCAGAATCTGCCTTCTGTGGTTCAAACGACATCCAGCTTAGGTGCGGCGAGGATTAGCCTTTCAAGCTGACAGGTTTCCAAGAAAAGGCTGAGGAAGAATCTATGACACAAGTGTCCAACTGGAAAAAATCCTTCGGTGCCCTGAACCTCAGAAGCCCTGATGGGCCGTTTTAGTAGCTTCTACCTGGTTTCGTGTGTTTTATATGAGGTTTTTCAGCCGTTGCAACCGTATAGAACCAGAGGGGCGCTGCTCAATTCAGTGGAAGGTAAAGTTTGAGGTTGCCACTTTGCCTGATACTACCGGACTGCCCCTTCAAAATGATCAGGCTGAGTCTTTTCTTCATGGTTCCTCTTTTGAAATGATTTTAATAAGAAACCACACGGAAACCATTTGCTCCGCCAGGTTTGCACCTCTGCTGCCAACGCCTCGGAGTGGCGTTTCGCGCTGCGGCGCCTGGCGCGACTAGGCGGTGGGTGTCCTCGAAGCGTAGGTGAAGGTTAAGGAGCCGCCCCGCCAGAAATTGCGGACAGCGCCCGGGGAATTTCCTTGCATGGATTTGGGTCCCATCTTAAGACTAGGTTTTGATTGTGACTCAAATTGTATAGGTCAGCAGTTGGTTTGCTTTTGGATGGTTTGCTAAGATAGGCAGCTTCAATCCTAATGCCAGTGCGCTGGTTCCCTGCAGCGGAGTCCCATTTGGATGTTGGAGACGGATGAGGGAGATCACCCATTTGGACAAAACAAAATGAATAGGGGCCATGGGTGGAAGAGTAGTTTGAGGGTCCGGCCCCCTCTTTCTGATTGTTTAGAACGGATATGAAAGGGACCACCATCACCACTTTGGGGGTTCAAATCCTTATGTGAACCCAACATCCAGATGGAGTCTGTCCATGTTTTGCAACAAACTTTTCGGGACCATGTCTTTTTTCACAAAACTTTGGACCGCCATCCAGTCCAGCGAGTACCTGGAGTCTCCATGACCCTTACATGGGGGCATTACCCAAAATTCAGGGGTGGACCCATGTTTTAAGGGTCATGGAGACTCTAGGTACCCTCCCACCGACAAACATGGAAGTTCACAGACGCCTGTAAGACTTGAGACCTGCTCAGGACATCCCTTCCCTGAAAGACCACTTTCCTCATGGCATTACCCAAAATTCAGGGGTCATGTTGTCATGGCATTACCCAAAATTCAGGGGGCATGGAGTCATGGCATTTGCCAAAATTCAGGGGTCATGGAGTCAAGGCATTTCCCAAAATTCAGGGGTCATGGAGTCATGGCATTACCCAAAATTCAGGGGTCATGGAGTCATGGCATTTCCCAAAATTCAGGGGTCATGGAGTCATGGCATTTCCCAAAACTGAGGGGTCATGGAGTCATGGCATTACCCAAAATTCAGGGGTCATGGAGTCAAGGCATTACCCAAAATTCAGGGGTCTTTTAAGGGTCATGGAGACTCTAGGTACCCCAAACCCTCGCCAGGCCCAGCGGCACACGTCACTGCCGCCGTCCGCTGTGCGCTCCAGGGCCGCGCGTGGAGTTGGGCGCTGCACCTGACCGCCGGCCGAGCGGCAAGAGGAGCCTCGCCTGTTTTTTGTTTTTTGTTTGTTTGTTTTTTTCTCCCCCGAACGCATTCCGCGCGGAGCTCTCGGACCAACTTGCATAGAGTCACTTGCGCAGAGTCAAATACATGGAGCCAAGTGCATAGAGCTTAAGTGCATAGAGCCAAGTGCAAATAGAGCCAAGTGCATAGAGTGGTGCTGAAGCAGTGCTCACTGAAGATGGTCATACTTTGTGTGGGGTACATCCTTCGGAATGACCGCTTGGGACAGTTCTAGGGGACACTTCCGCATTCTCTCCAGGGATAATTCTTTTCAACAAACCGACGGAATTCAAGGGCAAGCAGCTGGTTTTTGAAAAGAACGATGGCTGAAAAGAATGGTTGGAATCAACTCCTAGAACAGTAAATCAATTTGGTTGAGGCCTGAATCGGAAGTTGGATGACTCACGTGTCCGATTTCAGTTCACAGCAACTAGGTCCCCCGTAGTGCCCTTTTGCCGTTTCTTTTTTGGGGGGAGGGTTCCCCTACTAAAAGAGGCTACAGAAAACAGGGTACCCTTATTCTAACCTCTCTACTGGAGGACCTAGGCAAAGATGGTGCCCAGACAGGGAGCATGTCGCTTGCTAAACCAAGATGGTGTTGACAACGTCAAACCTGCGATGATGAAGCTGGGTGCAACTTTGGGACGTGCCGAAGGGAAATGATTGAAGTATTGGAGAAACCGCCCAACTGCTCCACCCAAAGGCTTGAAGGATATCTCTCCAGAACGGAGCTCTAGAGTTGACAAATTCGATGTTTTGGTTCAGCTGTTTTGTTAGGTGTCCTGTTTCGTCCACTCGTTTCAGTTTGGTTCTGCTCATGTACTAGTTTCAACTACCTTTCCAAACGAGCAGCAGCCCATAAAGGCACACGGGTTGGCCTAATTCATTTACAACTGTTTAGGCCTCCAAAACACGCTGTCACTGCCTGAGTTCCGGCACTTTAGACTTGTCGCGAAAACCATCGTGGCAAACCAAGAGGTCGCGGCGCCCGAAACAAAGTGCATGGTTGGAGGAGCCAAACGGCCCCCAGTTGCCCCCAAAAAACGCGCTGATAGGAAGCCATTGTGTTTTGTGTTCAATATATATATATATATATATATATATACACATCATTATTTGTGTAATACTGTAGTGCATCATGGAACACTCAAGAAGTTGTGGTATGGCAAGGTGGCATGCAGGCAGAGCGTTTAACCATGCTGCAACTTGGGGTTGGGCCCCACTCTGTTTTTTGGCATGATTGTTTGTTTAGGACCTATGTCTGTGATACCAAGCGAATCCCCTCTAAAGGGATAAGTGATGCATCATGTTTAAGCAGAACCTTATAGACGGGTTTCCTCTGGGTGAGGAGATGTTTGAAGGGACATAGTGTCTTCAAATTGTGTTTTGAACCCCGAAAGCGGGTTGTCTTTCATTTCCCTTTCAATCCACCCCTCGAAAGGGACACCCCCATACCTGCATCCAGGGTGACTGCGGTCATTTTTTTGACCGTTTCTAGGGGTTATCAAAGTCAGAAAATGAGGTTGTTTCCCTTGAAGCCATCATTTAGTGGGTGACTTTGATAGAACAGTGAGGTCAGGGGTGAGTCTGTTTTGTTTGTCTTGTTTTGGAGGACGTGAAGGCTTTGCCGATGTCTGCGCTATGGCTATGACCGCCTTGGAGAAGACTTCTCGCTGGCAAAGGCAGCAGAAGCTCTTTGAGGACCTGAACCAAGGGATTGTGGGTGTTTAAGCGCACCTGGAAATATGTTGCGAACTTGGTTGTTTGTTTGTTTGTTAGACTTATGGTGTCTTTCTTGCTTGTTTGCTTGTTTGTTTGTTTGTTTCTAGGTTTCTTTACTTGTTTGCTTGTTTGCTTGCTTGCTTGCTTGCGAGTGTGAGTTTTTTGTTTGTTTGTTTCATGTCGGAAAGCCGTGCAGAAAGCCGTGTGCCCGGTTTGATATCAGGCAGTCTTCCAAGCCTGTCGGCTTCCATGACTTTGGGAGGCAGAGTAAGGGTCTGTGATTTCTGGTTTCTCGGGTATCTTTTGGGTGGTTTACAGAGAACACAGGAACCCTCCATTTTTGGGACGCGTAACAAGCAGACCGGGGCAGACCGGGCCCACGAACCGCCTGTACTCGCAGGATGTCCGGCTCTGGCGCTGCGAGCTGGACGCGGTGTGCGGCTCGGTTGGGATGGGATGGGTTGGAATCAACCCCCCGAGCTGAAGGTTAGTATGGGACAGACCCAGCCAGAATTCCTTGCGGCCACTCTTGGAGTTCCCTTACATTGCTTCGGGTGGACCAATTTCATACCAGGCTCATACTGTGGATGGACGAAATCCTGCACCACCCGGAATGATGCTTCCCCTGTAAAAAAAGCAACCAACAATGGTTCCAACCATGGTTTCACAGTGGTGCGAACTGGATTTTCTCCATCCACAGAATGACCCCAACGGACTGGATCCGATTTGGGCCGTGTCTTTCCTCTTTTTTTTTAATCATCCGAAGCGGATGCCTGTGATCCAACTCAAATCAAGTCAGGTGGCCCCTCTTCGGTTTGGATGGGTGGCCGTGGTGGCCCTGAACCAAAGCACCCCGCTCCCAAACGGGGCAGCTGCCGATCTGCAAGTCTGGCAGTGAACGGTTTTCGGATTCCCGGGTAAAACCCATGGCTTGACCTCGGGGAACAGCCACCCCCCGTGGTTTTCCTCCATTTCCCGGTTTGGAACCTCCAAAAGTCGCAGCTTCAAGGGACACCACCGCTAAATTTATCAACTTTTGAAGGGGAATCCAGTGATCCTGGAATAGGATGGGTTTATCAATCCGGGGCCACATCACCGTTGTGCCGTTTGCAGTGAGTCAAAACCGCGTCAGCTCACGAGGCTGACGAATCTTTTGAACCGTTTCCAGTTGAGTTCTTATTACACCAATCCTATAATAGGATACACTCAAAAGACACATAATGAATATGCGTAAATGTTTTGTCAAGTGACATGAGCTTGTCCAGCACTGAAGTAGCTGAATACCTGCCACCAGGGAGGTAAACCAACCCATACTGCAACTTCTGGGGCGGTACACTATTTTGCTGTTTTGCGAAGAACAATGACGCCGTTTTGCGGAAAAAATGACGCCGTTTAGCGAAACACCGCTTGCCAACACAATTGCCGATTCGCAAAATGCAACTTCGAAGGCCGCCCCATGATCGAAAAGCTGCCGTGTGCTTCGATGAGCTAAGCGACCACCGGAAATATGCTCAACCTGCAAAAGTGCTGCGTCGCCAAACCAGCTGCATCTCGACGAAAAACGATGTTTGTTTTGGTCGCTCGCAGAAAACTGGCAGCTTCCCGGAAGCCCCAGGTAATTCGCCTACCAAACATGGAAGTGCACAAGGTTCCTTTCCAAGAGGAAAGTCGTCTTTCAGAAAAACATGTCCGGAGCAGGTCTCAAGTCTTACAGGGGTCTGTGCACTTCCATGTTCGTCGGTGGGGTATGCGTTGTTGGTTTGGTTTCTCGGTTTGGATTGGTGGTTTGGTGGTCAAACGGAGGGGCTTCAATTCCCGAATCACCGGGCTCCAAACCACCAACTAAGGGTTACCTGAGAATTGCAACGACAATTACAATAGTAATACTGCTTATCATAGCAAAGCTGAGCAGTTTTTTTTGGTTTCTGGATCGAGGTGTCACCGTGGGCCTGAGCTCCTTCCGACCCTGGCAGTGGCCTTCGGCTCTTCACCTCACAGAGCGGCGCCTCGAAAGTTAAGGGTTAAGGGACATCCGGAAATTGGTTGGTTGGGTGGTTGGTGGGTTGGGTTGGTGGGTTGGGTTGGGTTGGGTTGGGTTGGGTTGGGTTGGGTTGGGTTGGGTTGGGTTGGGTTGGGTTGGGTTGGGTTGGGTTGGGTTGGGTTGGGTTGGGTTGGGTTGGGTTGGTTGTTGGTTGGGGGTTGGGTTAGGTTGGGTTGGTTGGCTGGTTGGGCGTCGCATCATTTTTGGTAGAGTCATTTGGCAGCGGATTTGAGTGTGACTCACTTGTTTAATCCAGACAATGTGCCAAAGGATTCGTTGGACCCAAGCTGCGGTTCATTTGGAACCCCCCAGTTCTATCAATGCAAGACCTTGGCTGAGTGCAGACCCTTATTCCAGAGGCAGGCCCGGACATCACGGCTTTATGGAGATCCATGTTCTAAAACCCCTGCACTTGAAAGCGGTATTCGGAAGGGATTTGATATTTCTCTTCGGCCGCAGCTGGGTTTAGAGCACTGCTCATGTTTTATCCTTGTGGTTTACCGCTGAAGAGAAAATGAGGACAGCGGGGAGGGGGGTCGCTTTGCCTGCAACTACTGGTAGACACCAAGGTGCAGTGATGACAACCAGGACAAACAGCGGCGCAGCGTGGTGCTGGAAGCGTGCGGCGCTGATAGCTGCCCAGCCGAATTAGCAGAAAGCCCTTTGTTACATGCGTGGGTGGGTTGGTGGGTCGGTATCCCCTTTGGATTCGACCCCTCCAGATTTCTATTTGGGCATGGATCCATTTCAGCTCACCATCATTATGATTCCGGAATCTAGAGTCAGTATTATCCGCACTATGGCTTTTGAAGGTGACCATAGCACCTTTCTTTAGAACGCCTACTTCTTAGTCGAGCCTTTTTGGGCCCCGTGTAGGCTGGCATGGCTGAATAAATCGCTCCAAGGACGGAGAAATGGAAACGAATCCATCAATCTGGAGCTATGGCGACCTCTTCACCCAATGAAGATTCTGGACGAAGAATAACTACCTCACAGGACCTCACCCCAAATGGTGGTTTATGTGGGGAATAGCCCCCCAACCACCTTATTTCCGGTTGGTGAAATATTATAATTCACCTAGAAGCTTCCCTTTGACGTTCCGGGACCGCGGATGGGCTTGGTGATTTTGTTGTCATTTCGCCAAGATTCGCAAGTGATCCCAGTGGATCCATTTCCCTGTATAGTAAGTAACAAAGGGAACCACCCTTTCAGAATAACAAGAGGACAATAGCTGGTTGCCTACTAAATGGGTTTTTGTGGGATCCACTGAAGATTACAAAGCCAATACGCGCTGTAAAGCCAAAGGCACACAGTCCTAACCACAAATAGGTGCCCGCGGCCTTGGTACCCTGGTTGCACACCAAATCTGGGGGTACCTTACCCCATTCTTTCCAGGGATCCTTCCTAAGATCCCTCAAGCCCAGGGAAAGCGGCCGGTAGTTGAGAAGGATTGAGAATGGGGAATCAAAGATTAGAAACAGGTCTGAATTTGCAGTGCACCCAAACTACCTGGCCTGTTTCCTGGTCTTTGAAAAGAAGGATTGAGAAGAATGGGGAATCAAACATCAGAAACACCATGTGTTTCCTTTCGCCCCTTTCAAACCGCCCGGGTGGCGCTCGTCTCGCACTCGACTCTCGCGACTTTCGACCGATGTCACCTGAGACTGGCGCCTGGGGGTAGAGCTGGCGCTGCGAAAGGTGGAGCCGGATCTGGTACTGTTTTCCCAGGCCAGTGCCTCCTGCGAACAAGGCGAGCCAACCCCGATGTTTTGTTTTTCTTTCTCCCGGGTTGTTTTGTTTCTTCTTTTTTCGGGAGGGGGAGGAGAAGACCCGAACCGGGGGCAACTGATCCCCGATTTGTTTTGTTTTTGGGCGGGGGGAGGAGGGTGGCAGGATTGTTTGTTCAGCGCCCGGTGGCGCCCGGGCAGGGGTTGAGATGGGTCTTGAGGGTACCCTTTTCATGGCAGGGAAGCCAAAGGGACAGCACTGGTCGCGGGTGCCCCAATGGCTTACGGATCTGTCATGTTTATCTTGACCATAGGCTTCCTTCTTAGGTTAGTTTCTTTGAAAATCGATGGGTTCCACTGGTTTGGATGGGTTTTGTTCCATGTACCAGGGCCATATATTTGTCCAAAAGGCCACCTATGATCATGACATGTTGCCGAAGTCATCCTTGGCTCAGGGCGGTTGAATGAACATGGGTTCAGTGCCCGACAGCTCATGGCGCCAACTTTGCCAAGAAGGTGGTGCAAGTGTGAGGCGAAACGAGCCCACACATTCAGCAGCTGGTACGGCGGTGCCGCCGAGATATCCCTCACTTGGCAACGATTGGAGCAAGCCTGGGCAGGCAGCCAAGAAATGGTCCAATCTCCCAGGGCCAATGCTCGATCTCGTGACGTCAGCTCCAAGTACGGCAGTATCTCAGCATCTGGCCCTTGATTCCCGATCGTGATGACTCTCATGAGAACAACTCAAGTGAACCCAGCGGAAGAACCCTTCGCCATGCTTTCGGGAAGAAAACAATCACTATAGGGGGAAGAACGGGTGAAATCCACAAAAGGCGCATGCAACCCGTTTTCAAGACCTACCAAGGGTCGACCTGCGAAGGGTTCAGGGCCCAAAGGACCTGGAAATCAAACCTTCCAAAGACCTGGTTAAAGTGGGTTGGTGGAAAGTGCGTGCTGTACCCTTTAGGGTGTCCTTTTGTAGGTGGGCGAAATTGGGTTGCCGACTTCCTGGGAAAGGTCATCCTTTAGGGATCTGGACTGATGGACCGAAAAGGGCAAACCAAAATTAAAAGGTCGGCTTTGGGCTGGGCCATTCTCTCTACCTATCTTAGAATCTTAGACACCACCCAATTTCCCAGTGCTTTGGAACGTTTAGTTTTGGTTCTTGTTTGAAGAGAAAGATTCTGCGAAGAAAGGGTAAGGCACAAATGGAAACCTGTGGGGACGCCAAACGGGCTCTAATAAAATTGGATCCGGTCGCCGGTTCCAAATGACAATCACATGTGGCGTCCGAAAGAAACCCGTTTAGAACCAATTTAGGGTCACCCAGCCTGCCAGTCGATTCGTGCAAACTGCGAAGAGCGCTTCATGTCTTCCTTTGCAGTGTGACAAGGTATTTTGATGATTGAAAACTACCGAGTGCGCACCGACCGAGTTTCGCCCTTTCTGAATCAGGGCCCGAACTGAAAGGCACCTTTTGCAAAGGCCTTCGGGGCTGTGACGGCATGAGAGGTTCCTTTCGCAAGAGCATGAGGCAATTGCGTGCGCGCCGAATGGGCTTGACGTGCGTTTCCGCCTTTCGCGAACACAGGATTTGGCAAAGAGGCGCCCTTTTTGTTGCGACCCTTTCGCGAGTACGTACATGACAAACCCCCTTTCGCGAGCCCTTTCGCGGCCAAGGAACTGGGGGGTTGATCAAAAGATCCTGATGGGATGACCTTGGGGAAGCCACGAAGTTGATATTTGCCACATGCGAAGAGTTATGCTCAAAACTGGGGGCCCTAGATGAAATATAGATCAAACTCCATTTCTTCACGAATGCTAGTTTCAAATGCCTGTGTTTTAGCACGTCGCTTGCCGTCCACCACTAGGCCTGTGTGCCACATGTTTGGCAGTAAGCCCGTTTGCTTTGTGTTTTGATGTGGGACCCGCTGTGCTATCTATGGCCGCTTCAATCGATTGTCTAATTCTGAATACTGTGAGTGTTTCGCGGGTCGAATTAATCAACAATCAATGCCAAAAGAAATGTGGGCAAAAAGAACAACACCTTAGCCTTTTACTTACTTTTGAAAGCCTTTCTCAGCTAAAGGACTTTGCTAGAAGGTTGAATGCCAAGCTTTGTTTTGGTGGGTGTAAAATTAAAGGTCGAAGCGCCTTAGCCTTGACTTTTAAAGGATGGTCAACCTGAGACCTGGGAATCTAGGAGCAAGTCTTGGCTATACGAATGTTAGAACTGGCAATACCAAAGAAAGTATGAGGAGTCTGACATCAAGTTATGACAATACTAAATCAAGTGTTCGCAATACTCAACTAAGTATTGGCAACACAAAATTGAGGCACTGGGAGTCTGGCAATACTAAATGTAGAACTGGCAATGGTAAATTAATCACTGCAAATCTGAGAGTACATCTTGGTATTCCCAAAATTTAGAATTTAAGCAATGTTTTTTTTCCGCACTGGCAACTTCCAGGTCCCATACAAGGTGTCATTGCAAGGAATCATCATCATGAAAGTCATTGTAAGGAGTCATTGCAAGGAGTCATTGCAAGGAGTCATTGCAAGGAGTCATTGCAAGGAGTCATTGCAAGGAGTCATTACTAGAGTTATTGCAAGGAGTCATTGCAAGGAGTCATTGCAAGGAGTCATGAGAGTCGTTGCAAGTTGCAAGGAGCCAAGTGCATGGAGTCAGCAAGTTGCAAGTGCATGGGGTCAAGTGCAAGTTGCAAGTGCATGGAGTCAAGTGCAAGTTGCAAGTGCAAAGGAGTCAAGTGCAAGTTGCAAGTGCAAGGAGTCAAGTGCAATTGACTTGCGAGGAGTTAAAATCTGCCGACGGCACTCTACGAAAATCGACCCTCTGCGGGGAGTGGCGTGGTCGAGGTGCAAAAACTCGAGGTTTTTTGTGCGACTTTTGTTGTTCTTCGCGCGCCTGCTCCCGGGACCGGCGGGTCGCGGGTTCGATTGCCCCCTGGTCCGCGGGCGGGCTTCGCAAGCTGCACGGAGCAACTTGCATAGAGCAACTTGCGCAGAGCAACTTGCGCAGAGCAACTTGCGCAGACCAGTTTAGGCAGAGCACCTTGCCTAGAGCAACTTGCGCAGAGCAACGTACGCAGAGCAACTTGCACAGAGCAACTTGCACAGAGCAGCGGGCGCAGAGCAACTTGCGCAGAGCAACTTGCACAGAACAACTTGCGCAGAGCAACTTGTACAGAGACATTTCCACGCATTCACTTACACAGAGCTTCTTGCGCAGAGCAACTTGCACAAAGCAACTTGCGCAGAGCAACTTGCACAGAGCAAATTGTGCACAGAGCATTTTGCGCAGAGCAACTTTGACAGAGCTTCTTGCACAGAGCAACTTGCGCAGAGCAACTTGCGCAGAGCAACTTGCACAGAACAACTTGCACAGAGCAACTTGTACAGAGACATTTGCACAGAGTCAGTTGGACAGAGCTTCTTGCACAGAGCAGCTTGCACAAAGCAACTTGCGCAGAGCAACTTGCGCAGAGCAACTTGCACAGAGCAACTTGCGCAGAGCAGCGTGCACAGAGCAACTTGCAGGGAGCAACTTGCACGGAGCAACTTGCGCGGAGCAACTTGCGCAGAAGGGTCACGGGGCTGTGATGCTTTCGGGTTCAGACATATATATATATATTTATTATTCATATATATAGATATATTATTCATTAATATATATATATATATTTTAATTACATATATGTATATATGTATATACATGTATGGTTGTAGCATTCAGCCAAACCGTTCTCCAGGGTGCCTTCCAATGTGGCGCCCGCCTCCAAGCCGTCGAGTGCCAGGCCAGTGGGCGCGGGCGCTGTGCCTCCGCCGCGCGGCATCCGCCGCCGGGGTCCAGGCGGACGTAGCGCCGGGGCAGCAGAGCCGCAGCCGGCGGCCAGCAGCAACAACGGCGATGACGACAACAACAACCAACCAACCAACCAACCAACCAACAATCAAACAAACAAACAATCAAACAAACAAACAAACAACAAAAACAAACAAACAACAAACAAACAAACAAACAATCAAAGAAAGAAAGAAATAAATAAATACACAAAAACACAATTAAACAACAGCAGCAGGAGCGAGCCTGGCGCCAGTGTGTTCAAGGAACACTTGGTTTCCAGTGAAAATGTACCCAGTGGCAAGTGGTTGTTGTGTACTTGGTGGCTCCCAGCTGTCCGATTCCTTAGCTTTCTAGCTTTTTAGTTAGTTTAGTGCAGGTGTCCATTTAACCCAAAAAAGTTATAGCAGGGGATCTGAAAACGGACAGCCCAGTTTCAATAGGACCGAGCCTTGCCTTATGTTTCCCGCCCCCGGATTCGACTCAGGCAGCGTTGGCTTGCGGCGGGCAGCGATTTCACTGATGAGGGTTGAAGACCTCGAGCCCGAGGAAGGTCTTTGTTTTGGGGCATCCGACTCTCAAAGCGGCGGTCTCAATGGAAACCATCGGTAAGTTGATCAACTTTTGAAGGGAACTCCACTGACTCATGTCCTACTTCAGGTTGCTTGAGGTGACATGCCGCAGCATCTCAGACTCTGACTGGAAAGAGATTTTAGTGGCCATGGCCAACACATTGCTTGGGCAGCTCCCGTTGTGGATCGGCATCACTCTGGCAACATGGGCCCTGTGTTGGCTAGTGGTGGCACCTGTGAATTGCCAAGACGTGGAGAGTTGCGCAAAACATTTGAAGACCTACCCAGGACGGGCTCACAAATTGAGTGAGACTCTTTGGTGCCCAATGTTGCCAAAGTTTGAGACATTGACACTACCCTTTGGTTTTTTTCATCCAAAAGCCCCATTTTTTTCTGTTGCCCCCAACCATCGGCTGTCGCTATTTGTTCTTTGCTTTCCCTTTAAACAGCAAACAAGAAGGGTGTGGCAACTCGAAAAAAAACTCACCCTACGTGCTCCAAGAAGAAGGCGTCCGGTGCCCAAGGGATGAACAGCGACTTTGCCTGCAGGATACTACCATCTGGTGTCCACTGCGGCCCTAGTGGCCATGGCGGGGCATGAGCTGTGCGGCTTGGTGGCCACATATCTGGGGACCCAGCATACCCAAGCCCTCGTGCCGCACCTCAAGAGCAGGCGAGGCGCCGGGGGGCAGGCCACGGCCAGACAGGAACCATCCTGGGTCCCCCAGTAGTGCCCTGTTACCACTTCCTTTTTGGTTGGGAGGGTTCCCCTACTAAAATAGATTGCAGAAAAAAAGTTGGTATCCTTATTCTAACCCCTCCAGACCTAGAGTGTGTCGGACAGCTTAGCCAAGGAATTCGTCAGGAACAATCCTGCAATGGTTTCCTCTCTTCTGGCGTTTGCCCCAAAGAACGAACCCCTCCCAAAGCCTAGCGATGGTTCAGTTGGGGTCACTTCCTCATTCCCCGCCTGCGGTTGATGCCTTAAATATGGGACCGGGGACAAGGAACACAGCGAAGCAACCGCAATTCGCAGAACGGCTTTGTGGTTGAGTATAGTTGGTTTTGACATATTTACGGCATCCCCCCCCCAAAAAAAGAAAACACACACACGGGCAGGCAATGTAGGTCCCCATTCTCAGGAGGTTGGACAACGGTTTCGGCTATGCCTATCTTACAGTTGTCGGAGGTTTCCAGTGGTTTCCCATGGTTTCCTCTGCTAGGTCCCCCAGTATTGCCCTTTTACCCTTTTTGGGGGAGGGTTCCCCTACTAAAACAGACTACAGAAAAAAAGGGTACCCTGATTCTGACCTCTCTACGGGACCACCTAGTGTGTTCTTTTGTGGCAGGTGTTTGCCCAGCTTCCTGCTGGCTTTGATGTTCGGCGTCCTAGCCACTGCCGAGCGTCTCTTCTCACGCAGCGACTGGACCGTCGCCCACGTCATGCCCTCCGCGGATTCGCTCACTGAGGAGCATATAGGTCCATTGAACCCGTGGGAATCCATTTCGCCCCAAGAGGATCTGAGTTCCCGCATGCTTGAACTAACCCACCTAGGGGTTCATCATCTTGCTGGTTCGATACGCAGGATTCTATCCCCGATTTGGTTTCCTGTGAAGGAAGGTCATTCCCAACTGAGCACCAGCAATGTGGGTAATTCTAGGGCTACCTTCCCCATTTTTTCCAAGGATCCTTATTTTCAGGAAGCCATCAAACACCCAGGGAAACAGCTTGTTTTTGAAAAGAACAATGGTTGAAAAGAATGGGAAATCAACCTCTAGAGCAATGCCGAGGAGGGCCGACCCGTGTACACCATGCAGTACTTTGACGCTTCGGTGGTTTCAGCGCGGCCAAAGTGGCTACGATTTCCTTTTTTGTCCGAGGCAATTTCACTTTTGGGGATGGGACATTTCAGGCGGTCACCTTAAATTGACCCAGTTTGGAGGAACCCTGTTTATCCTGAGCTCTAGTGGAGCATTGTTTTTCCATGTTTGCTGGCTTCAGGTTGGTTCAAAGCGAAACCAACAGCAAACCACCATTGTGGGGTCCCCTTCTTTTGACACATACCCGGAACAAATGGTGTGCATTGCCTACCCTAAATCCTTTTCACGCCAGGGACTAATCGTTGAACAAAGTGTTCGTATTTGTTTTGATCATTCGTTGTCCGGGCTGCTGGAGCGCCTTGAATGCTGTAAGTTGACCTTGTGGTCCAAAAAGCAAAGGTACACTGAATTATGTTTTCCTACTTAATACGTATTCATGTTTACATACTTGTAACACGCATTATATGGCAAAAGCAATACATCTACAATGTGCACGTGAACCATGGGATTGCAGACTTCCTGGACTCGAGGCTCGAGGGACTCCTGGGAAGATGTTTCTAGGCTTGCGAGAAGCAGGTACTGTTCTGGGCGCCTACCGCACAAAGTGCCCAAGATCACTTGGTGTGTCACCCTCAATAGGTTCTCCCAGCAATCGGCCCTAAGGAAAGGCATCTTCATGGGGAACAGTGTCTTAAAGTCACAACCCTGCCCAAAGGTTTCACAAGGAATCTCAGAACATGCGCCAGTTCTTGACCTGGGTACGGATACAGTTGTTCCATGTTGATGTTTTCTCGACTGGAACAGTTCTTGCATCACCTCCCAATCAGTTTCATCACGGCAGAAAGAGCATGCATGAAACTCGTAGGCTGGAGCATTCTAAGCTTGGAAGGGTCGCAGCTTGCTCCGTATCAAGACAATCCCAGTGGCACGGGGCATTATGTCGCCTGAAACGGCTTCCACGACTGACCAGCATTCCAGGCAAGCCCACGACTTGGTAGTCCAGCAACCGCAAATGGTTGATTGCCTGGGGCGAGGAAGTTTGGATTCCTTTTTGCGTGATATGTTTGATCAAGGGGGGGGGGCTGAAGAACCCAGAAGGCGCGTGTTGCAGGTTGGGTCGTGCTTGGGCACCACCCAGCTGGCATTTGTTCTTTTCCGGAACAAGGTTCTGCGACACCAGGACTGGAAGTGGCAAGTAGGCTGTTTTGAGGTTCAGTGGCTATTGTGAGGTTGCCGATTTGGAGACAAAGCTTCATTGAGCCGGACATTTGAATGTTAGAACCTCACCATCGTCGGGAAAATCGGTCCAGAGGTCGGCGCCAAACGCAGGGAAGTAGCTCCAAAGGCCTGGTGTTCAAATCGGTTGGTCTCACTAGGGGTGTGTGGCTGGCAAGAAAAGTAGCGCACCACCTGTGAGGTTTCTTTTATGAGAACCATCCAAAAGTGACCTGGCAGACTTTTTTTGCAGGAATGGGGTTTCTTATGAGCAACACCCAAAACGACCTGGCAGCAGGAATGGGGTTTCTTATGAGCAACACCCGAAACGACCTGGCAGAAGTTGTTGTTTGTTTCAGGAATGGGGTATCAACGTGCCCATCCTCTTCATTCTGTCGGGTTACTGCAGCCTTGGGCGTCCGCTGCATGAAGTGTCGCGACCGCTCATCGTGACCAATATCTACGTGATTTTCTGCTGGGCTGCGACCGCCACGGACGTCGGCCTCCTCAAGCCGCTTGAAGGAATCCAGCGGACGAGCGAACGGTTAGCTGACAGGAGGACTTGGGTGGTTAAAACGCCATTTGGTTGTGGGGGCTTTCATTTGACCCACTAGAAGTTAAACTTTCAGGAGGGGATTTGAGGACCGCCCAGCTGTGAATTTTGCAGGAAACCGCCCAGATTCCCAGGCCATTTCCGAAAAGGATATGTCCTCCGTGCCATCTTCTAAAATTTTCAAATTGGCTTGCACGAAAACCACAGGGACACTTCAGAACGTGTTCACTGGGGACCAGTATGACTGATCTACGGGGTACCCTCGTATGGTAAATTGATGTATGGGCCTGCAGCAAATCTACTTGCCCCAGAACTTATGATTTCCCTCTGGTGAAAGGATATGGGGTCCTGTATTTCCATTAGTGTTTCAGGGCGCATGGTGTCGACAACCATAACTTTTGGGTATGACCCCGAGGGTCACGTATGTGTATGTTTGTCAAAATAGGGGACTTACAAAATGGTTGTTTTCCCTTTGATATCCCTTTGATGCAACTGTCTCTTAAGTTGATATCCTTGAAAGGAAAAGGTGATTTACTATTTTGCATGACGTGCCCGAACTCTATATTCCAACCGACTAATCACTTCTTCCTATTAATCAACCAACCCCGAATAATAAAACTCCGCGGAACCGCGCCAACAATTCGGCAATACTAAAATTAAATTGGCCAATACTAAACCAATACTAAACTTGTGAGATCACCACCAAGCTCCCAAAATGTGCTTACCAGAGTCCCCAACACACACACACACAACCACACGCATCCGCAACACAGACACACACACACACACCCACCCACCCACCCACCCACCCACCCACCCACCCACCCACGCACGCACGCACGCACGCACGCACGCAC